AAGAGTTACTGTCTCAATTTCTTGGTTTGGTGACCTTTACAATAGCACCTTTTTTATGCCCCTATAATAAGAACTAATTTGGCAATTACTTCCTCTAGATTAGGAGCTCCCTGAGGGGAGGAAAGAGGCTCTATTTATCTTGCTAGCTCTAACAACATATGGTACAATGCCTGGCATGTACAAGGAATTCAGCCAGCATTTGATGAATGAGTATTTCAGACAATACTTACTAGAACCCCTTACTTTAGCCTGGATGCTCCTGCTTATAGTTAGCTATGCACACTAGAACAGACGAGACACCTCCTAGGGACACAGAGAGATCATGTTTTGTCTGTTTTTGGCACCCAACACAGAGCCTGGTCCAGAGCAGGCGGTCACCTAAATATCAGTTTCCTTATTATGTGCTAGTAAAATTTCATACCTGGGATAGAGTCAGAATTTTTACGGAATCATCAGGATGAGTCAGTCCCTTCTGAAGGTCAGCTCCGAGGTTCCGGGCTATGTGAACCGGCTCCATAGCTTGGAGCAATCTCTCCAGAATGGATACACACAAAGTGGTCTGTTCCCTAAAGGAAATGTCATAGGTCTCATTAGTTTGTGTCCTGCCAGGTACGAAGTAACAACCTGAAGCCTGGCTCAATGAAGGTCTCTTCCACACCAGACTTCCTTTAATTTTTTTTTTTTAATTTTTATTTATTTATGATAGTCACAGAGAGAGAGAGGCAGAGACACAGGCAGAGAGAGAAGCAGGCTCCATGCACCGGGAGCTTCGATCCCGGGTCTCCAGGATCGCGCCCTGGGCCAAAGGCAGGCGCCAAACCGCTGCGCCACCCAGGGATCCCACCAGACTTCCTTTAAAATACTAACTTCTACTAATTTATTAAGCATTTATTAAGTACCTATTATGTGCCATGCCTATACTGGTACTACAAAGAAGGATAATATATATTCTCTAGCCTCAACAAGCTCAGTCTAATGGAAAATACAGAAAAACAGAAGGGCAACTATAATTCAGGTGGGTAAATATTATAGGTTAGGGTTGGAAATTCTGGGAGCTCATAAAAGAACCCAGGGATCAAGGAGCCCTCCCAGAGGGGGTAATAGCTGAACTAAATTTTAAGAAAAAGTGGGAATTATCTAGAAAGACAAAGGTGTTCTTCCAGGTAGAAGGACATGAAGGGGTAGAGGAATGAGGTAGTGTTATACATTCAAGCAAGTACAGGGAGCTCCATATAACTGGGGTAAGAATGGGAGAGAAGTGGGGATAAGGTAAAAGGGGAGGTATATACAGGGAGAAATGAAACAGGAAAGATGCACAGAAGCCAGACTCTGATGGGGTCTTTTTTTTTTTATCATCTACAGAATTCAGACTTTTTCCAGAAAGCAATGGCAAGCCACAAAGTGGTTTTAAGCAGAAAGTAACTGATGAGATCTGACTTGAGGAAATTATTCTGTATTAGTTAGAGAAATAATTTTTCCGTTAGAAGGCAGGTGGCGAGGGAGTGAAACAGTGTAGTAAGAAGAGATGGAGAGGTGGGAAAAGATTCACGAGGAATTAGAGATGTGAATTAATCAGAACTTGATGACTACCAGTTGTGGATATAGAAGGTATTTCAAGAATCACTTTTTCTCCTAATGGGCAGTACGTGTAAATAGCTCAGGCACTCATATACTATTAACGGAATATACAATTAAAGTGATTGGACTTTTCTAAAAGTTGATTAAGGGGCACCTTGGTGACTCAGCGGTTGAGTGTCTGCCCTTGGCTCAGGGTGTGAACCTGGGATCCTGGGACCGAGTCCCACATTGGGCTCCCCGCAGGGAATGCTTCTCCCTCTCCTTATGTCTCTGCCTCTGTGTGTCTCTCAGGAATAAATAAAATCTTTAAAAATATAAAAGTTGATTAAGCAATAGATGTAAAAAACCTTAAAAATGGACATAACTTTTTTAACTTTGGGATTCCACTTTGTATAAACTGCACCTAAGGGAGTAATTAACAGTGTTTATACCCAAGATAACTGAAACCATATATGCACACAAGAATTTGTATGTGGATATTCACAGCAATAGAAACAACCCAAATGTCCAGCAATTAATGAGTGGATGAACATAACCTAGTTTAATCATACAACAGGATATTATACAACACGGATGAAGTGTGGGAATATTACTCTAAAAGGAGCGGGACATAAAAAGCTTCTTTTTGATGATGATTGCATTTATATGAATGTCCAGAAGAGACAAATCCACAGAGACAGAGAACAGATTCCTGGTTGTCAGGGGCTGGGGGAGGGGCAGAGAGGAGGAAGGGGGAGGAGCGTCTGTTCATGGATATGGGCTTCTTTACTATTTTAACCATTTTTTTTAAACCATTTTTTTATTATACAGTTCTGTGTATCAAAGTTCATTCACATTGTTGGGCAAGCGTCACCATCAACCACCTCCAGAACATTTTCATCTTCCCAAATGGAAAATGTGCAGCACTGTAGGAGGGATGCAGAGATGAACAAAATATGGGCCCTGCCTTCAAAGAATTATCCAACTAGAAGCAAACATGGAAAGAACCATAACATAATGCAACAGGGTCAAGCATCATTAGCAGAAATAATGATACTGTGACAATGTCTCTCAGGAGATCTGAGGACCAGTCACTTGAAACTAGAGTGGCCAAATGAGACTTTTTGGAGGTGACAGCACTTTACCTGAGCTTTAAAGAATAAAGGAATTTGGAGAGAGGGAGGGCGTTTCAGTTAGAAGGATTGGCCTGCACAAAGTTAGGAAAAGTGCCAAGTCATGCACAAGGGAAAGTAAATGGTGCCACACGGTAGCTGAAGCAGATGAAATATTTGTAGAGGATGGAGGGAAAAGACAGGCTGGAAAAGTAGGATGGAAATATACTGTAAGGGCCCAAATGCCAGGAAAATAAGTCATGATTTTACACTGTAGACAATGGGAAACCATGGAAAATATTTGAGACAAATGACCTAAGAAGTTAACTGTGGTTGCCGTGTGGGAAAAACATGCTGGACAAGGAAGCTTCAAGGTAATGAGTCAGACTAATGCAAGAGACCTAGCAAGAGGGAGAAAATGAGGGCCTGAAATAAAGGACACAGAAAAGGGGGCACCTGGGTGGCTCAGTAATTGAGCATCAGCCTTTAGCTCAGGGCGTGACCCTGGGGTCCTGGGATCGAGTCCTGCATTAGGTCCCTGCATGGAGCCTGCTTCTCCCTCTGCCTGGGTCTCTGCCTCTCTCTGTGTCTCTCATGAATGTGAATAAAGAAAACCTTAAAAAAAAAAAAAAGATTTCGTAGGCAGAACGGAATAATATTAACTGATGGATTTAATGTAGTGGACCACGTATTCCACCAGGAATCTCAGGAGGTTACAGCCAAGAAATCCCCCTGAAATCCTGTGATTTTTTTTTTTTTTTTTTTTTACCTTTTCAAGTAGAAGGGTCACTTTTACATTTCTGGATGACAAACATTTGTAAGCCGCTTTATTTTTTTAAGATTTTATTTGTTTATTTATTCATGAGAGAGAGAGGCAGAGACACAGTCAGAGGGAGAAGCAGGCTCCGTGCAGGGAGGCTGAGCTGGGACTTGATCCCGGGTCTCCAGGATCGCGCCCTGAGCCGAAGGCGGCGCCAAACCACTGAGCCACCCGGGCTGCTTTGTAAACCGTTTTAATTGATCAAATACAGGGGATCCCTGGGTGGCTCAGCGGTTTAGCACCTTTGGTCCAGGGCATGACCCCGGGGTCCCGGGATCGAGTCCCACGTCGGGCTCCCTGCGTGGAGCCTGCTTCTCCCTCTCCCTGTGTCTCTGCTTCTCTCTCTCATAAATAAATAAAATGTCAAAAAAAAAAAAGATCAAATACAAAGAGCTTTTTAATCAAACAGTACGGATGTGCACAAAATGAAAAAAGTCGCCACCCTAAGCCCGACCTCTACACTCAGAATTCTGCTGCACCGGGATCCCTGGGTGGCGCAGCGGTTTGGCGCCTGCCTTTGGCCCGGGGCGCGATCCTGGAGACCCGGGATCGAATCCCACGTCGGGCTCCCGGTGCGTGGAGCCTGCTTCTCCCTCTGCCTGTGTCTCTGCCTCTCTCCTTCTCTGTGACTGTCATAAATAAAAAATTAAAAAAAAAAATTCTGCTGCACCTCCCACTGTGTTACACCAGCCAGTGTAGGGGGGTGGGGCGAGGGGGCCTGAAATATCAAAAAAAAAACCAAAAAAAAAACACCACGCCCCATTTCGGGATCATAAACTGCTGCAACGTTCCTTTTTCTCCAACAACAACATCAAGAGATTTTTTTCCGTGTCCACGTAGAGAGATCTAACCCCGATGTTTCTCATAGCCGCACAGGGCCGGAAATCATGGACTTCCAGGGTCTCTAGTTTGCCCGCTGCCCCCTGTTGTGCGTTTCCCTCCCCATCCCGCACATTTCGCGGGGATCGGAAACAACGAACATTTAAAGTGCGGACGGATCTTGCCGGACTGCAAGAAGATCGTCCCCGCCCCCGACTTTCTGGAAGACGTCGTCTACGTATTAGCGCCTGAGAGCCAGGCCGAGGGGCACCGGCGCCCCGCGGGGCCCGACGCGGCCGGGGTCGCGGGGCCGCGGGGCCGCGGGGCCGCGGGGTCGCGGGGTCACGGCCGGGCCGCCGGCAGCCGCTCCGCCGCCGAGCCCGGGCGCCCCCCAGGCGGGCAGCCCGCCCCGCTGCACGTCCCGCCTCCGGGGCTCCGGCCCGGGGCCCTCCCGCCGACTCCCGCGGCCTCCCCCAGCGGGCACAGCCGGGCCGCTCCGCCGCGCGCCGGGGGCGGCTCACCGATGGTCCTCGTGGAGCAGGGAGAAGAGCGGGCCGAGGCGCAGCTCCGCCGCCGGCGCCCGCAGCTCGCCCAGCGGCACGGTCTGCAGCACCGAGTGCAGCGCGCGCAGCTCCTCCAGCGGCGCCTCCAGCCGCGACAGCTCCCGCAGCAGCGCCAGCGCCTGGGCCGCCATGGCGCCCTCCCGCGGGGGTCCGGCTCCCGCTCCCGCCCCCGCTCCCGCCCCCGCTCCCGCTCCCGCTCTCGCGGCCGCCCCAAGCCTCGCGAGATCCGCCAGCGCGCAGCCCCGCCCCCCGCGTTCCGGCCGCGCCAATAGCGGTGTGGGGCCGCCGGGCCGCGCGCGCTCGCGGGCCGCCAAGCCTCGCGAGGCCCGCCAGGGCGCAGCCCCGCCCCCCGGGTTCCGGCCGGGCCCGCCGGCCGCGCCCGGCCGCGCCCAATAGCGATGTGGGGCCGGCGGGCCGCGCGCGCTCGGGGCCCGCCAAGCCTCGCGAGACCGGGGCCGAGCGGGGTCGCGGCCGGGCGTCATCGGGGGCGTCACCGGGGGCGTCACCGGGGGCGCCGCCGGGCGGGAGGCGCGGGCCGGCTGTGCGGTCGGCGTGCGCGTCTCCCGCGGCGGGCGGAGGCCGCCAGATGCCCGGCAAGCGCCGCGGGGACGATGAGGACCCCCGCGGGCCCAAGCGGCGTCGCGGGCGGCCCCCGGGGCCCAAGGCCAGGCTGTCGGCGGCCGCGAGGGCGGCGGTGGTGGAGGCGGCGGCGGCCTGGGCGGCGGCCGAGGCCTCGCCGGGCGGCGCCGACGCCGTGGGCCTCCTGCTCCCGGGCCAGACGCGGGTGAAGCGGCGGCGGCGGGTCATGGCCCTGGAGGACAAGATGAAGGTCCTGGAGAAGCTGGAGGAGGGCGCGAGCAACACGGACGTGGGGCGCCTGTTCGGCGTCCACGAGTCCACCGTGCGCACCATCAAGAGGAACGAGGCGGCCATCAGGGCGAGCATGGAGAGCGTGTCGCCCGTCTGCGCCAAGGTGCTGTGCGTCCCCCGCGACGCCAACATCGAGAAGATGGAGACCGCGCTGACCTTCTGGGTGGAGGACCAGACCATCGGGGGGCGGCCCCTGACGCTCAAGGCCATCTGCAGCCAGGCCAAGCGCATCTACAAGCAGCTGGTGGAGACCACCGGCAAGGGCAACCCCGACAAGTTCCACGCGAGCAAGGGGTGGTTTGAGAAGTTCAGACACCGCTACAGCCTGCGGAATTCGAGGCTGATGGGGGAGGAAGAGCCGCTGGACGCCCAGTCGGCGCCCAGGTATTCCAAGCAGGTCCAGAGACTGATCAGGGCCAGGGGCTACGTGCCGCAGCAGGTCTTCAACGCCGAGGAGACGAGCCTGTTCTGGAAGTGCATGCCCTCGCGTACCTTCCGGGAAAAGGACAAGAACCCCGAAAGCTTAGAGGAAGCCAAGGACAGGATCTCCCTCATTTTCTGTGCCAATGCCGCCGGCGACAAAATGATCAAGCCCTTGCTGCTTTATAAAGACCCCAATCCCGCCTGTCTTCTGGAAAAGGACAAGAAGCGCCTTCCTGTGTTCTGGCGGTCACACCCCAGAGTGTCATTGACCGCGGCCCTCTTTTTGGACTGGTTTCATAACTGTTTCATCCACCAGGCCCGGAGTTATTTGATAGAAAAAAACCTCGAGTTCAGGGTGTTGCTGATTTTGGACAGGGGTCCCAATCACCCAGACTCCTTATTCTTTGCTCACCCTAATGTTGATATTGTGTTTCTCCCTCTGGAAGGCACTAGCTACCTTCAGCCCTTGGATCAGGGTATAATTGAAGCATTCAGGAGGTACTACACCAAGCATATGTTCGACCACTTTGCCGACTGTATGGAAAAAAACCCTTGTCTTACTTTGAAAGAAACGTGGCAACAGTACAACATTGCTGATGCTTTGGTCGTGATAAAAGAGGCAATGGATGACATAAAACCGGCCGCTCTTAATAAAGCCTGGTGGAAACTTTGGGATGATGTTGTGAACGATTATGCGTGCTTCCCCAGAGCTAATGAGGAAGTTGCAAAAATCATAGAGTCTGCAAAACGGATGGACTTCAAATTCCTTGACATCCAAGAGGGTGAAATTAACGAGCTGCTCAAGTTCCAGGCTTTGGCCATAACTGAGAGAGAGTCTGCGTCAGTAAACACAGAAGAAGACAAGTCCCCGGAACCAGAGGTAAAGATGAATCTGAGGAAATTGAATGCTGTCTTACGCCAGGCCTCAGACCTCATTGATGCTGCGATTGATATGGATCCTTTCCTGGACAGAAGTTTGGCCTTTAAAAAAGACTTCAATAAATTGTTATATACTTATAAAGAGGTGCAAAAGAACCTACAAAATAAAGCAAAAGGGTTGAAGAAAGAAAATGAAGACCCGAGCAAAGAGGAGGAAATGTGGGCGAAGGAGATGGATGCAGAATCAGAGTCTGAAGGGGAGTCTGAATCTGAATCTGAGCCTAACTCTGAATCTGAATCCCATAACGAGGAGAAGGTAGAGGGAAAGAGGGGGGATAAGAAGCCTCCAGAAGAAGGTCCTGGACCCTCTGGCAGTGGCACTGAGACTCTTACTATATCTGAAGAATCTGCCAAAGTCATAAGTGCAGAGCTGGACTTTTGGAATCTAACCCTGGAATTGAATCTGGAGAGAGTAGAAGTGCCTGAGTTAAAGGAAGAAGAGAATCCAGAGGCAGTTCCTTCCAAATGATAGCTCATGTCTTGCCATTCTTCCCTTGTTGCCCCAACATCCACCTTCATCATGACCATCCTTACCATCACCAGCCACACATCCGTATCATTTAGTCACTCAACAGACATTTATTGAGCATATGCTGTGTGGGGTCCTGTGCTAAACTTGGGGACATCATCTCAGGAAATCATCTCAGGATCTAAGGTAAATGGTCATTAACAGTGGCTGCATGTCTTACTAATGTAATAGGTATAAGAGATCACAGTCTTGATTTTCCTGGACTTTGGATAGAAAGGTTTTCTTAGGACCACAGCCTCATTTTCTCTAACCCAGTTTTTCCACAGACACCAAGTTCTTCAATCACAAATGGAGATTTTTCTGGGTTGACCATGGTAGTTTGAGATTACTTGCATTTATTGTTTGTTGGCTTGTCTTTTAGAAGGCTTTATTTTCAAGTAATCTCTACACCTAACGTGGGACTCGAACTCAAAACCCTGAGATCAAGAATCGCATGCACTGCCACTTAGCCAGCCAGGAGTCCTGAAACTGCGTGCTTTTGAAAAGCTGACGCTCTTACGTGGATTTTGTTAGTCCTCACTTTAGACCCGTGGAGGTGATATTAGCCCTTCCTTTTTTCTTTTTCTTTTTTATTTTATTTTATTTATTTATGATAGTCACACAGAATGAGAGAGAGAGAGGCAGAGAGAGACACAGGGCAGAGGGAGAAGCAGGCTCCATGCACCGGGAGCCCGACGTGGGATTCGATCCCGGGTCTCCGGGATCGCGCCCTGGGCCAAGGGCAGGCGCCAAACCGCTGCGCCACCCAGGGATCCCTAGCCCTTCCTTTACCAGCCCTCGCCCGCCAGAGCTCAGAGGGGTTACGGAATTGGCCCGAGTCTTCACAGCTAACCATGTAAATGATAAGACCAGGGCTGCAACTGATCACTGCTTTGTCAGACACTGCTGGAGGTGTGGGCCTTTAAGAAGTTTAGAGTCCCAAGGAATGAGACAGACAGTTAACAGACAATTAAACACAAAGGCTGTGAACTGGCAGCCTGCAAGCTAGATTTGGCTAACAGATGTGTTTTGTTTCGTCTCCCCCAGCATACAACATTTCCCCGGCTCGTTAAGGTTCTGTGTACGTACAGTTCACCAATGTTAAGTGTATAGTTTGTTCAATTTTTTTTAAACACTTGTGTAACCACTACCACCATCAAGATATAGAACATTTTCCTTAAGTTAAAAAAGTTCACTTGTGTCCTTGTGTACTCAGTCCCTTACCCTGCCCCAGAAATATTTAAAAATTAAGATATTTTGCATAAAAAAAGCTGGATTAAAAAATTGCACACCCTGGCAACAGTGGTCTCTGCATTCCCGAAGGGCGACAGCCAGTCATTAGCTTGCTGCTTTTCTTGTTTGTTTGCAGCTCTCCATAGTTGCTCATGTTGAGTGCGGCAACAAGTGTGTACCAAGTGCCTTAGGGGAAATAGAGGACTGTGGGATTAACCCTGCAGAAAGCTGCTCAGAGCAGCTGGCCTAGAAAGATGAATGAGTTCATCGGGAGAGCAGGTGGGAACAAGAGTATTTTAAGCCAAGGAGAATTAGATGGGAGATCCTGGGAGGAGGAGGTGCTGTGGGGGATAGGAAGGCAGCTGTGTGTGTAGGTGTGGGTGTGCGCATGCGTGTGTGCATGTGTGCTTCACTTGTTTCTGTTGGCAGGACGGGCCCCTGTGAAGTGGAAGAGTTTCGTGTATGTGTATTAGCATTTGTGTGCCGTGGTTTCTGGAAGTTTTACGTATCTAAGAAACGTAGATCTTTCTATCTGCACATGCAGGGATCTTACCTTTTTTTGTTGTTACAACGGGAAGGGAAAATTAGTATTTTTGCAGGGGTTGTAGGTCCGCCTGTGGTGTTTGGGTTTTTGTTTCTAGGAAGAGAACCGCCTAGTGAGAATTGAGAATTACTCCCTCTTTCCCTGCGCTCCCCCCACCCTCCCGGGCCAGCCTGGCTGGGGCCTGGCTAGGCAGTGGGGCAGGCAGCAGGTGGTGAGGGGAGAGGGCCGTGGAGGCCCCGGTGCCCGCCCATCAGCCTGCAGCCCAGCCCGAGTTTGCTAGGCTGTGCTACTAAATTCCCGGCGACGCCATGGACAGGCTGGGCTCACGGTGCCCTCTGCCAGGCAGCCTGCGGCCCTCCGTCCTTACGTGCCTCCTGGTGAGTGCCCCTGCTGACTCGGAACCCTCTCTCCCCTAAACCTCCAACCTGGATATTGAGGGAAGAAGGTGCATTTCTTTTTTCTACTTCTGGGATTTTGAGCTGGGAGCAGGCAGGGAGGCGGTGGCAGGGGCCATCCCTGGAGACACCTGTGTCCTGGAGAGCATAGTGTGCCTCTGAGGATGAGCAGCAACCCTTCCCTGCCCAGCTTGTGAGGAGGAGTGAGGGGCAGCCTCTCATTGCCTGGATGGTCCGGGCGCTGAAGGGTGCCTGCTGGCGAGTTCTCATCTAAGGGTCGCAGGGTAGGGTCTTCTCTTTCTCTTGCAGTCACCATCTCAGTTTTCTGCATTTGGGGAAGACTTTTGTTTTCTCATCTCTGAAATATCTTAAAATGTTAAAACTGGAAGTGGCCACAGAGTCCCGCCAGTGGTGGTGGAGGCGGCGGTGGTGGGGGTCGAGCGGGAGGTGGAAAGAACCAGAGGAGACGGTCAGAAGTCTTGCTGCCCACTTTTGGGTGATTTCTTCTCTGTGGCCCTTACCTTCCTCATCTGAAAAGTTGGCACAAATCAGTGGCTCTTAACCTTTTTGGAACTGTATAATCTATTTGTATGTGCGTCTGAGTGTGTGAAAGTTCTGGATTTGTACCCAAGGAAAATGTATAAACACAGCGTAGCACTCAATTCCAGAGTATCACAGGTTCCTTAAAATTAGGTCAATTACAAGGTTAGAACCACTGGTTGGTTTCTGAGGCCCCTTCTACCTTAACACAGATCATAAAGGCCATCGTAATCTCTTAAAAGCTATGTAAATATTGCAGCACCAAAGAAAAGACAATGAGATATGAACCAAAAGGATACATTAAATATTTTAAAAGAATGCAAAATTAGAAAAAGTGTATAGTGAAAGGTAAGTATGAAAATGTCATAAAGACTTCAAAAATTATACTAAATATTTTTCTATTATGTTTCTTATGGGGAATATCGTGATGTGTATATTTTCCATCAATTTTGTGCTCATAGAATGTCACAGAATATGTCCTTATATATATTGTAGTGCACCCTTGGCTCCAGACCGGCCTCTCGTGCTTCTGGTACATTGTTGCTAGGTCCGCAAACATCTCTGGAACCTGTACACTCCCTGTCAAGGGTGGGAAAGTCCTGGGTACGTGGAAGTGACTGAGGCTGAAGAGCTCATGCCTGATGGGGGAACGTGTAAACAGCTCTCTCTGCTTCACCGTGATCAGCGGCACAACGGAAGGGCGTGAGCAGCAGCCCTGGCCTCTACCTGCTAGATGCCAGGAGTATCTCCTCCCAGTGTGACAGTCAGAATTGTCTCCAGGCGTTGTCAGATGTCCCCCAGGGGGCAACCACTGGAGTATGTGAAGCTGAGTGATTCCCCTAAACCCATTCCTGGTCATGCTCACTGCAGTTCAGAGAATCCAGAACGGGATGCAGGAGCCTTGCAATCAAGTCTTGGTTCTGTCCAGAGTTTCTGTATGTTCTGTCTCAGTTAACCTTGTTTGTGAAGTACGGGGTCATCTAGATCCCTGAGGGCCCATTCACCTCTTAGCATTTTGACTCTGAGAGTTTCAGTACATCTTAGGTGAGTTGGTAGTTGGTCCTGTAAGCTCCGTTTTCCACTGATTCCTACTGGCCGAAATGTCCGAGGTCCTCCTTGGGAAGGGCTTTTTGGTTGGGGGACAGGCCACTGCCCCTTTTGTCTGGAGTCTGTGCCAGACGCCACATTAGAGTTGTTGGAGACTTACAGTGTTCCAGCACGTTCAGTTCTCTGCTCGAAGCCAATAGTGGGTGACCCCTTCACTGTTTAGCCTTAATAACCACACCTTGCTGGTGGATTAATTCACCGGTCTACAAGTGTTTATGGTGAACCTGCTGTGTGCCATGAACTGCTCTGAGGATGCAGTGATGAGCGCAGCACGGTCCTTTCTGTATTGGATTAGTGATTACAGAGTCTTTCTCCTACCTGGCTTGAACCCAGGGCAACTCTGAGGTAGGCAGCAGAAGCATCAGAATCCGCATTCTCTAGATAGCAGTTGCAGAAGGGAGAGGAAATCCCCTAACCTTGTCAGAGGCCACAGGCAGTTAGCAGTGCCCGCACTAGGATCTAAATCCTGCTCTCTAGTGCCTTTTTTTTTTTTCTTACAGTCAATTAAGTAGTCATTAAAAAACACGTGCAATAAAAGCTTCCTTGAAAAGTGTGGTTCTTTTGTTCTTGCACGGTCACCGGTTTAGTTCAGAGGACTGGTATTTTGACTTGGAGGTGTTGGTGGAGGTAGTAGGAGGGAATGAGCAACCCTGCCCAGACAGGCCTCTAGTCAAACTGAAGCTCCAAACATAAAAACGCTGCTCAGGCCCTGCCAAGAAGTAGGAGCCAGGCCCCAGGCAATAAATAACGTGGGAGGAGTGGGAGGACAGAGGCTTATTTGAGTGAGGCCGGAGCCGCGGGCGGGGGGCGGGAGAAGCGCCCTTCTGTTCAGCCTGGCCTGAGTCACCGTGGGCCTCCTTGCAAGTTGTCTCTCTCCTGCTACTGGCTCCGCGGTCTCCTGCCAGTAGAGAGCCCTGGAATGGAAGCTGTTCTCCAGTTGTGTCTAGTTCCTCTTATTTTAAATGTTTATCATTAAAATAGTAAGAACAATTGTATCTCGAGTGTCTTTTGCTCTCACGTTATCACTGCCATCTTCTTTGCTCGAGATCTTAAGGTCTGTTTCCTAGATCTCCCTCGGCTGCCTTCTGGTCACTCCTCTCTCTCTCCCGTTACTCTGCTCTCTGCTCAGCTCGACCGTGTTTAATACTCCCCTCCTTAAAAAGCCTCTGAAAGCACCCTGTCTCATGAGTACAAACCTCTAACTCCTCTCTCTGCCCCTTTTCTGTATGAGGCTAGCCCGGCTCCTTCACTCCTGGTATTATGCCTGCGGGTTAGGCTGGATAGCTCATCCGTCCTTAAACACCTCTTGAGTTAGTGCACGTTACCGTTTACTAGGAGTACCTCCCTCTCCTCTTGTAAACCTACGTATTATTTCAAATGCAACTTAGATGGTACCTCTTCTCTGAAGCCTTTTCTGCTCCCTCAGGTACAGCCTTCCTGTAGGTCCCACCACCTCTCAGTTACAGCAGCACAGGTTATGTTACCTCGAATTAGGCTCCCGTTACCCCTGGACTACCCACGGGGCCTGCACAGACACACGTGAGTGGAGGGCAGATTAACTCCCTACAATGTCAATAGACGTAAGAGCCTATCATTCCTAATAACCCCCATAGGATGACAGCAGTTCAGTGGATTTCAGTTGGCATTACCTCCAACAGCGGTTTTGTCCAATAAGAATGGATTTCTGCTCATCCAGACTTGGTTCCTAATCGTGGCTTTGCCAATTACAAGCTATGTGATCTTTTTTTTTTTTTTAAAGATTTTATTTATTTATTCATAGACACACAGAGAGAGAGGCAGAGACACAGGCAGAGGGAGAAGCAGGCTCCATGCAGGGAGCCCGACGTGGGACTCGATCCCGGGTCTCCAGGATCACACCCCAGGCTGCAGGCAGCGCCAAACCGCTGCGCCACTGGGGCTGCCCCAAGCTATGTGATCTTGATTTCTCCATTTTTTTTTTTTATCACCTGCAAAATGTAGAGGAAAATATTTAGGCACAAAAACTTTATTTAAGTGCTAAAGCTCAATAGAGATACCAGGAATTATTTTGTGGATGGGGAATGGGGCTGAAAAAGTGATGCTTAGCCCTGGTTCCAATTTGCTTGAGTGGGCAGATCGTGAATTGGCCATGTCGCTGCTGACCTGTGCTTTTCTTTCCCTGCCATGTAGATCCTGACAGCTTCTTTCGTGTCATACCCCATGCTCAGGACCCTTAGCCTGCAGCTCCACTCAGCCGTCACCGGCAGCTATGTCTCCGGCACTTATTCCGTCGTCTTTGTGAACTGTCCCAACGAGCAAATTGCCAGAGAGATTGCCAGGTATGGTGAAGGGGCTTAGGTGCTGCCTAATGGCGACCACAGTAAAGTTAGGTAGCCGTCCATGACCTCCTGTACTTACCGTGTGTGTGTGTGTGTGTGTGTGTGTGTGTGTGTGTGGTGTGGTGGAAACTCGGAAGATTTGCTCCCAGCAACTTTAAGTACTCAAACTTATTTTGAAGTCTTGGTTTTGAATGTTTCATGAACTGCTTTTCTTGTGTAAATTCTTCTATTTGCTCCGTTTTTTGTCTCTCTTGGTTATTGACCTGCCCCAGTTACTTTGTGATCGTGACCTCTCTCATCTTTGTAGTCGTGCTTGTGGGGAGGTGCAGAGCCGCTGCCAGGAACTGGCATCATGCAGCACTGTTTTCAGTGTGGGTGAGGGCTGGGGACCCCTAGAAACTGCCCTCCTGGCACACTTAGCACTCCTGCGTGGTGACAGACACCCCGTGATTGCTGCCTGGGCCCTGGGAGATTTCGGGGGCCCGCCTCCCGCTGCAGCATCGCCCCTACTCACCTAGACGGTTGCCTCCAGGTTGCTGCCTGCTGTGGTTCCCGCCACCTCCAGACAGGGTCTGTTGCTCTCAGGTCCTGTGGCAGGTCCCCTGCACACTGCCCTTCGTGCCTCAGGGCGCCCTTTTCTTCCTTGGGGCTTCCTTGTCGTCGCTGGTGCATAGTGTGTTCTTAGTGTGGGTGGGCACGGCTGAGTCGAGAGTATTTGCTGTGGTCTCTAGGTGAGGCTGCAGTGTCTGTGTGGCCCACCTGCCTGAGCTGCAAGTCTGAAGTGGAGCCATTAGGGATATGGCTGGTGAGCTCTCACTCAACCTGTTTTATCTAGTATTTTTTTTTTTTTATTAATGGCTTTGATAGAAAAGAGGCAGACAGGTTTAGTTTCCAGGATTTACAGAAGGGTACATAGTGGGGAGGCCCCCTCAACAGGAGCAGGCGGGAAGCCCAGCCTAGCTACAGAACCAGCACTGAGGCCGGGCTCTTCGCTCCGGACCAGTCTGTCTTCTCCGGGTGCTCTAGAGTTAGTCTGCTGGCTCCGAGTCCTGGGTCAGTTCAGTTCTGGTTCCTGGCAGGTTCTTACATCTCTTCATTGACAGATGCATTCTTAAAGAATTAACTAGAAATAATCTCTTATTGGGGCCAGGGTGAAAATCCTGAATGTGGAGTCAGGAGACCTGGATTCTAGTGTCCTCTCTGGTGGCAACTCCACCCGTGACCTTCTCTGGGCTTCGATCTCCTGTATGTCGAGGAAAGTGGATCACAGCGGGTATGAACACGTAAACCTACAGGCAGGCCCCTCAGTGAGCCAGGTGGGCTGGGGTGTCATGAGGGCGGGTGATGGTGGATAGCAGCCCTGGGTCTTCCTGTGTGTTGGAATGAAGGAGGGCGGCGGGAACTGTGTGGACCTGAGACGCGGGTGTCACGCCTCAGGGGAGTGGCCACTGCTCCGCTCTAGTTAAATGTGACCTTGGAGGACTGTGGTTCACGTGTCATAAGACTCATTTTCTAGTGAGAAGCTAGATAATCTGTATTTTTTGAGTGTGAAATATCCTGATAATAAATATCAGTAACAAAATAAAGACTTTTTAAAAACGTTGTAGAGAGCATAACCATGTTACGTGGCCTGTGATTTACTAGTCTGAACCGTGCGGTTTCCCGAGGCCCTAGTAGCTCTGCACGTCTCCATCCTGTGCTCTCCTTCGCTGAGCGTGAGGGCTCCGGCTCCCATCTGTGTCTGTGTGCGCATGCGCGTGCTCTCAGTCAGCTGATGTGCTCTCTTCTGCCCTCACCCTCTCTGGTTTTTTTGTTTTTGTTTTTGTTTGGTTTCTTTGGTCATAGGGTCTTTTTGAATAACACAGTCCTCCATATTTCTAGTCTTTTACCTGTGGACAGGCTGCTGTGATCGCACCGGGGACTTCACATTCTGGGTCTTTGAGACAATGGGATTATTCTTTTTAAAGGTTTAACTCCCTCCCTGTGTTTCCTCACCACCTTCAGGAGCAATAAAGTGTAATTTCTCAGTGGACAATTGAGTAAGACTTGCCACAGTTGCTTAAACAGATTTGTGCCATGTGCCTCTCCTTACAGTCAGGGATTTCTTTAGCTCTGGAACTTTCCAGGGGAATGCCACATTAAGGTGGGGCCTTAAATAGAGCACTGTTGAGCCTGGAACTCATGGAAGAGAAAGTAGGTCAGTTCTCTTGGCAGCAGCTGAGGACAGGCGGGATGGGTGAGCAGGGCTCAGATGAGGTTTATCTGGCTGACTCCAAGCATTTCAGAGAAGAGAGACCTGAGAAAGGTTTGTCAGGGCCTGCCTGCTTCTGAGGGCTTCCAGTTTTGATGCTTGGGAATGTCCTTTGCGTGGGTGATTTGGTGGTGCTCCTGTTTCCGTGACACCTGCACTAATTCAGGCACGTCTGACTGTTTTTGCTGGGGCTCTGCACAGGAATCGGAACATCACACCAGGAATTCCAACCCGTGGTCTGTCCAGAGATATCCTAGAGGTCTGCAGAGTGGTGACTGTGCTCTTAGGACCATGGTAGAAACCTTTCCATGAAAAGAGATGAAAAGAGCCTATATTTGCCAAACACAAGATATGATGTGGGGTTTTTTGCTTCTCCTTGGCGTTACGGCTGTTCTGTGTGGTCACGTGGGTATCTGTAGATCAGAAGTAGGGGGTGTCAGCCTGATACATACCTGGGAGACAAAAGCAGAAGACGGTGGTAGGAAGGAATGATGGTGAAAAGTTGGAAACCGCTGACTGAACCGGCCCGTTACTGTGCAGCAGGATGTCAGCTTGAGTGAGGGGGCAGGCCTGTCTCCGATATGTGCTCAAATACTTATTCAGACACCCCATGATTGCTGCCTGGGCCCTGGGAGATTTCGGGGGCCCGCTCTGAAAGAAAGAACGTGGTTAGGGTCACAGAGCCATGCACTGCAGGGTCGGGAGTGGAATCCAGGTCTGTGTCCTGTGTCCAGTGTTAATCAGTTCCCCTTCCCCAAGCAGACTGGGCCTGTCCTTAAAACCATCTTGCCGTAGCCGCTTCCTTCCTTTTCTCCCCACCCAGAGAAGGACTAATGAGCAGCGCTGTCTTTAGGTGTCTGTGCATGGTGGTTATGGGATGAGTTGGTTTGAGGAGGGAGAGGCACTCTAAATGGTTATCTGCGTAGACTATGGTTTCCTGGGTAATTCCCAGGAAGTCCCGTCCCTTGTTCCTTAAGATGTTGGGTACTTACCCCAGTGACGGTCCCTCTTTCTGTTGTAGGGCTATCTTGGATAAGAAGCTGGCTGCCTCTGTGAACATCCTGCCCAAGGCATCCTCGCTGTGAGTTTTGCTATCGCCTGTGGAAGGATGTGGGGACTGCTGGGTCAGGCCCCGGCTGGTAGGAAGAGCACTGAACTAATGGGAGATTGTCAAAGAGCAACTCAAAGGCATTTGCTTAATGAACAGTTCATTGTTAATTTATATTCAGAGGAAGTCAACTAGGGGATTTACATCAACCAACAAAAGCAAAAGTAGGCTGTGTATGGAGAAGCGAGGAAAAAGCTGTAGTTTAGAAATAGTGAATCTTGTCTGCACAGTCTTTGTTTAAATTAGTCGGCTTGCTATTAGCAAAAAAGTCTGACTGGGCATTCCATCCCTGAGTAAGCCTCCTAGGGATATCAAAGAAAATAATTCCCACTGCTTTTGAATTCTCTGGAAAACTTTGAGGGGTTGGCTGATGTGACAAGCTATCTCTGTGTTTTCTCCCTTTCATTTCATTGACACCCTCACTATAGTTAATTCTGGTCTATTCCATTTCCCTCATCAAAATACGTCAGCATCCCGGGACTAGCTGTGCAGGTAGATTGATGGACTTCTTTAAGAGACGGTGAGCCTCTCACTCCCAGGAGCGTTCGGGCAGCTGCTAGAAGCATGCATTAGAGTGGTTGGACTAGGTGACCTCTGGGGACCAGGCAATCTAGACATGTTTGTGTGGGCTTGGAAAGATTGTAAAGTTTCCACCTTGGTAAGTCACTTGATTGGGCCAGGTTTGTCATCTCAGCGAGCTCATCTTGTAAGCATAATAATATGGTTTTGTTCCCTTTTCCAGGTACTTCTGGAATGGAGAAATCGAAGAAGCCACTGAGATCCTGTTGGTGAGTGAGGATGGGGGTTGGGGCCTTGATATGGGAAGAGTGAGACCAAGGCCTTTTCCCAGGTTCCAATTAAAATTGAGCAAAGATCAGTCAGCTGAGGTTCTTGCCCCAAAACAGATGCCCTAGGCTAATTTGCGAATGCACCGGTGCCCTGTCACCTGGAGGAGTGCTATTCCTGAGTGGCCAGGTGGACGAGTAGCTGCAGCACTGGGGCTGAGGTCTTTCTTAAAGCGGGACTTTTTTTCTTTTACAGCTAATAAAGACAAAGACTTCCAAGGTCCACGTGCTGTCCGGCTATATCAGGTAATGCTGGCCTCTCTTCTCAGCCAGGGGATGCACTGGGAACTAAGTGAATGAGCTTCAAAGGCAAGAGACCTGGAGCCTAGTCACCAGCCTCCCACATGACCCCAGGCATGTACCTGGCCCTCAGATTCTCTGTTTGTGCAATGAGAGGGTGGCATGGGTTAGTGGAGATAGTGGTTCTCCAAATTTTGGACTCAGGATCCTTTTACACGTTTAAATATTATCAAGGACCCAGAGGAGCTTTGTTTATGTGGGTTATATTTAAGTTTATTGTATTAGAAATTAAAACTGAGAAGTTAAAAGTTTTTAGTTCTTTTAAAGTAACAACAGTAGGGGTGCCTGGGTGGCTCAGTTGGTTAAGCATCCAGTTCTTTTTTTTTTTTTTTAATTTTTTTAATTTTTACTTATTTATGATAGTCACACACACACACACACACACAGAGAGAGAGAGAGAGAGAGAGAGAGAGAGAGGCAGAGACACAGGCAGAGGGAGAAGCAGGCTCCATGCACCGGGAGCCCGATGTGGGACTCGATCCCGGGTCTCCAAGATCGCGCCCCGGGCCAAAGGCAGGCGCTAAACCGCTGCGCCACCCGGGGATCCCAAGCATCCAGTTCTTGATTTCAGCACATGACCCATGATCTCAGGGTCCTGGGATTGAGCCCCTCATCAGGCTCTGCACTGGGCGTGGAGATTCTCTCCCTCCCTATCCCTCTGCACACTTACCCCAGAATAAACAAACATGTACACTAATGTGTGTCCCTAAAATAAGAAAATTCATTATCCTCAGTCACTGGATAAAATTATTCCAACTCCAAATGTTTAAGCATGTGCGTGTGTGTGTGGTGATTCACTAAGCATGCTGTCTCATGAGAACTTGACAGTGACTTTTTAACTGGAAAGGAAACAGGGAATTATCACCCCCATTTGACAGATGGGAGACTGAGGCCCAAGGCCTCGTATATATTCGGTCTGAGAAGTAAAGAGAACTTGCATTGTGTGCTGAGGGCCAGGTGAAAGAAACGGAGAGAAGGAGAGATCCCTGTGGGTTTGGATGGTCGAGGAAGAGCCGTTGAAGAAGGTCAGTGGTTGAGTTGGGCCTTGAGGGATAGGTAGGCTTTTAAGTGATCCACAGAGAACTTTCTAGGTGAAGAGAATCCGGAGGTATTGGGGATGGTGGCTTGTTTGGGGAAGGCGCAAGACCGGAGCCCAGCGCTGGTCAGTATACCAGGAGAGTGCTTCCTGTGCCCCGTTCAACTTAATCCTTGGCGATCTAGTCACAGAGGGACAATTTTTATCCTCTCTTTGTAGGGCCTTTGGAGAAATTAGGTGATCTGTCCATAGTTCCATAGCTGTAAGGGGCAGGCTGAGAATTGGGACCCAGGACCGTGAGACTCTGAAGCCATCTGGCCCAACTCCTCCCTTGTTGACAGATGGCAAACAGGCTCCGGGGCGGTGGGCGTCGGCGCTGGACGGCGGGCTGCCGGGCACGTCGCGTGAGGCTTTCCAGTCGGGCCTAGTTGCATAGGCTGATTGTAATCATAGTCACTCACGGGCTCTGCTTTCTTTCCAAAGGTTGGTGCATCCTTTTGAAATCCCAGAGGTCTTCAGTCTTCCCGTGGACCAAGGAGATGTCCGCTATTTCAAGTGGCTGGAGGAGGGCATGGAGGAGGACTGAGGGGGGGGCTTTCGTGTCTCCTGACGGCTGCCACCCGCCTGCAGCGCTGCACTCTGGGGACGGGGAGCCTCTCTCTGTTTCCAGGCACCTCTGGATTCTGTGTCTTTGTCAGCGTGGAAGCGCTAAGGAACTTGAGAGGCCGAAGGTCTGAGCCCTGAGGCTGGAAGAGGAGGCGGGTTGGTCGCTGAGCAAGAACCCGGTGGAACTTGGCTCTTCTTCATGCCTCAGGGTGGCCAGGGGGTGGGAAGGCGAGGACGGTTATGTGGGGAGGCCACGGGGAGGTGGCAGTGAGGGTGACTTTGTCCTCGGCTCCTTCAGTCACTGCGCCTACAGGGCCCAGGATCTACTCTCCTGCTTCTCGGGAGGAGGAATGGACTGGTGAGCTACACCCGAGGCGTAGGACGAGGGTCGCCTTCTAGGGGGCTGGCAGGCACTCCGTCCAAGAGGATGAATTGCTAATGGTAGAGTCTCAGGGACGAGCAGGGTTATTCCTTGAAACTGAGGATGGAACTTGTTTTTCCTGAGTCTGAGGAGGTGGGAGGGGGCTTCGTGAATGTGGGTAGGTCCGGGGGCATAGTAGGTAGTAGACACAGCCTCGTGGCTGGGAAGTAGGTCCAGACGCTCCCCTAGCCTGGCCGCGACAGGTATTGGGAGGCTCAGGGGCCCCGCTCATTGGAGACCTAGGCCCTGAGCCCGTGCTCTAACCTTGTCGCCTGAGCATTGACGCTGAGCATCCTTAAGTGGAAAGGCCCCTAGGGAACTGCCAGGCCAGTATTTCCAGACTTGTTCTCCTGGGCCTTAGAGGTTGACAGAAGGCACCCTGGGTGCTTCCTGGGTGGGGCTCAGGGTGTGAGGCCCCCACCCGTACCTCAGCCAGTATAACTGCCTTTTATTATTATTTATTAAGCTTCCTTGTAAGATTTGGGTTTTGAGGGGTTTTGTTTTCCGTAAGTTTTCTCTGTCATAACAAAAGCTAGTAAACCAGTAGTCGAAGCTGCTCTCCATTTTATAGATGACCGAAGGAGACAACGGCAGTGAGGCCCAGCCAGGGGTGGCGTGTCAGGGATGGTAAAGCCAAGCCTGCTCGCCCCGTGCGTGCTGCTCCTGCACCTGCTCCCCGGGTCTCAGGCGGAGGAGGGCAGCGAAGCAGAGCCCTTCGGGGTGAGAGGCCTGGAGCTGGGCCCCCTCCATGAACCGTCCCAAGGTAACCCCGCTCTGGGGAGACCCGTGGGCGGCTTGGGTGGGGGCCCACAGACCTCTGGATTCCTGGGTCTCCCTAGAAGGAAGGGTATAGTACGTGGGGGGGCTTCCAGGCTCTGGTTCCGACACGGACTGTCCTTAACCCTTGGTTCCTCCAGAGATACGAGGGAGGCTCTCCCAGGCCCTGGTGTGAGCCCTGCTGGGGACTTAAGGCCGAGGCGCTTCAGAGGTCCAGGAGAGCCTTTTGTAGTAGCCAGGGGGACTCCGGGGGGCTGCCTCAGCAGAGGGACAGAGAATGGAAATGGCAGTGTCCCTTTTTTTTTTTTTTTTTGCAAGTTTCTGATACACCGGGAAATTGTGTATGAAGCCATCCCGCTGAATCCCAAAGCCATGCTTTGGGGACCCCAGAGGGACGGCCCCTGTTGCTCTCAGGTTAGAGCCCGGTTCCTTGGCCTGGCCTTCAAGGCCCTTCAGAGCCTTGCCTGACCTCACTTTTCCATCTTCACCTTCCGCCTCTCCTTGCCCACCGTGCCAGGGAGATGGCCCCAGGGTGCGAGGTGAAGTGTTGCTGTGTCGGGGCGCCCCGTCAGCCTAGAGCACCCTGCTGCGCGAGCCCTTGAAGTCTGGCCGCTCCTTCGGAGGCCGGCTCCCCCGGCAGGGAGGAAGCTCTCCGGCCTCAGGGTCCCCGCTATCCCTGTGTCCTGGGCAGCCTCCTGTTTTAGACCTTGAGCTGCCTGAGGTCAAGGCCGTGTCTGAACCTGTTTGATCTCTTGCATAGGGTTGGCGACTATTTCCAAAGTTGAGGTTTCAAGGATTTGAATAAAGCTTTCTCTGTAGCCCACGGTTACTAATTTATGGAATTGACGAAATCCAGCCTTTTTCCTTTGAACTTTCTTTAAGTGGGATTAGTTCCAAAGGAGGTCTTCTCCCTATCTCTGGCCTTCATCGGGGCACCTGTGCTGCCTGCGCATGGAAGGCTGTTTCCTGGGGGACTCCGGCTGCCTTGGGCACAGCTGGCTGCAGGACATGGACAGGAGAAGACAGACACCGGCTCCCTGCCTCTGCTCTCCTCGGGTCTCCACGATATTTTATCCTCTCTCTTTTTTTTTTAATTCTATTTATTTATCCATGAGGGACACAGAGAGAGAGAGAGAGAGAGGCAGAGACACAGGCAGAGGGAGAAGCAGGCTCCTTGCAGGGGGCCCGATGCGGGACTCGATCCCAGGACCCGGGGGTCGCTCAACCGCTGAGCCCCCCGGGCTGCCGTATTTTATCCTTCTAACTCCATGTTCTCCTCGGCTGGCAGCTAGCTCCTGAGATCAGAGCGCGTGACACTTAGGTGGCAGGAGGCTGTGAACTCCCGTGTCCGATTCTAGAGCTGATGCTCTTACTGCCTCCTTCAGAGAAGTGGGACATGTCCCTTCACAGGCCAGATGCCCAGGGAGCCTGCTGTAGGCAACTCTAGGAGAAGGGTTGTAGTTACTCTGCAGTTCTGGGGGCTGGTGACAGGATCCTCCTCCTGCACACGAGGGAACAGATCTAGAGGAGTTGCCTAGATTTTGCACGTGTGCATGACTCCCAGCCTACCTCCCCTAGACCCTGTCCCCACGAGTGGTGCTGTGGGGCTGGGCTAGGGCCTGGACTAGCGGCTCCACGCAGGCGTGGCTTCCCAGCGTTTCTCAGGAAAGGTCTGTCTTTTGAATCCACAATCCCCAGATAAATCACTTGAGGAAATGAGAAAAATAATAAATTCTCTGTGAATACTAAAGCTTAGGAGGGTACAGATGTTAACTGGTTTGAGGGAATCCATCTTTATGAGATAAAACAAGAGCGAGAAACCCCACCACGCGGAGTTGAGGGTGAAGGAACCGGCCGGAGCGTGCAGGAGGGAAAGGATTGCCGTAGACTCAGCCTTGCTTGCGGCCGCTGCCGTGCCCCAGGTGCCCCAGGTGTGCGTCTAGCATTGTCTGCTACAAACTGAGCTATTTTTGCAGATCAGTTTATATACACAGTTTACTTTATACAAGTCCTGTGAGCTTTGTTTGAAGAGATAAGCTTTGGAAACAAAATAAATTTTAATTTAGCAATTTTGACACACGATTCTGTGGATCCCTAACCTTGCTAAGATATTCGAACGTTACGTTCTTTGAATACCATCCAATAACGTTGCATGATTTTTCCGGGGTTTAAATATTCCCTATAAGCTACAGTTCTTTGAAAATACTCCTGAGCTTAATATTCCTATTTGTTACAATTTTTCCAGCTATGATAATGGGGAAGATACGAAAAATGTTTCAAGTATTTTAAGAAAAACTTAATGATTTAGGGAATTTCTGAGAATTCTAATTTCTTGCTCCTGAACTTGAAAGGTAAACCTGTTGTAAATGTGTAATCACTAATCTAGACCCCAAAGGACCAGGCACTCTTCAGCCTGGGAAGGGCCACTGATCTCAGGTCTGTACAGCTGTTCACTTCGGAACCTGGACTAGAACCCAGGTCTCTTGACACCTCAGACCATGTACTTTTCATGCCATTGCAGTGATTTCGGCGCAAAGAATAATCGCACCCCCTTACCCCACCCTGGCTCCAGTTGTGGTTTTGTTCTACGGGCAGTTAAAAGGCCGAAGCAGAAAGCATGGGAGAAGAAAGTGGGAGCCACAGCTAGTGAAGAATTCTGAGTGCAGACGTTAAAACTCAGGGGGACTAACAGGCCACCCTTTACCCGAGAGGCAGAATCTACGTGAACCCATGACCCGCCCCTCCCTATAGCGGGCTTTTTCCTGTCCCTGCATGTCGATATTTCTCTGTTCAAACTGTCCCAAATTTAGACAAGTTTAAGGTAATAACCCATCACATTCGTATGTGAAAGGGTTTCCTCTCACCTGGGAGCTGACTTCAGGGACTATTGCTGGCAGGGGGAGGGTGCGGGAAACAAGGGAACCTGTCCGAGGTGCTCGAAGTTAGGACTAGCAGACACCGGCCTGGAGTTAACTGCAGCTTCCAGGGCTGGTGCCCGTGCGCCTTAAGCAGTTCCGGTGGCTGCACGGGAGTGTTTTAGTGAGGTCCGTTCCTAAGGTCGTTCCCCATCTTTTACTTCTCCATGGCCCTCAGCTGATGCTTTTTGCCCTCATGGGTCAGGTATTCACAGAAAAGAAGTCCCACGTCCTGCCGGTGGTAAGGGTGAGAGCAGTGGGGAGAAGGAGGGAGGCAGTTATTGGAGTGGCGGGTGGCCGGGTGGGGTCCTGTCATCCCTTCTCAGTTTCCAGGAAACCAAGACCAGAGCTGATGGTTGATTCAACAGGGGGAAGATAGTCAATTTATCAAAAGGAGCTTTTAAATTATAAACCAGGCACATTAATTATAACTTTAATATAACAAATGTTATTAAAAGCAGCAATTCAAAACCATAAATCTTTTCAAAGGTGCACAGGGTTATAAGGTCAGTTGGCAGTAATGCAGCTATTAACTGGTATGAATGAAATGCTGGGATGTGGAGTCAGGGTGGCCCTGCTAGGCCTTAGGCTGACATCCCAAGTGAGGAAGGCCCCGGCGCCCCCCTTCGAGCCCAGAGCCTCCCTGGGGCTTGAGGAGAGAAGGTGCAGTGGCCGCGCGGGCCGTGCTCATCCTGCGCTTCCTCGGAAGCCTGGAAAGCAGGCCTGGGGGGTGGCTGTGCCCTCTGAAGCCAGGCAGGAAGCCACAGATTGGATCCCGAGGTCCCACACACCCCTATGGGCCTGGGGGCTGGCTTCTCAGCTCCCCTTCCATCCGGCCCCAGTTCGGGGCTTCAGTGGCGGCAGCTGTGGGGCTGAGAAGGGAGGGAACGGGCCCCGCCCCAGCTGCTCCCTGCCTGGGTCGCGCCAGGGAAGCGGAGGGAAGGGGGCGGGCCACGTGCAGGAGGTGAGGTCCCGTGTGGAAGGCACTGGAGGACTGAGGTCTGAGGCCGGGGGCATCTGAACAATCTCGGACTCCCGGGTGCTCGCAGGTCGGGAGGGGCTGAGCCCAGCAAAGGAAAAACCAGCTCCCCGGGCCCGCCACCCCTCGTTCATCCACCTTCGCCCTGCTGCTGGCAGCCTGCGGAGCTCGGCCGAGGAGGCCACAGCAGCGGCTGGCAGGGCTGGCCCCCGGCTGGTCCGCCCTTGCCCTCGTGAAGGCACTTCTTTCTACTTTCCCATCATGTGAGTCCGCTTCTAATAGCTCTGGAAGCAGCAAAAATGAGGGGTCCCCTCCTCTTCTCATTTTTGGTTTTCCTCCAGATGGGGATGAGTTGTAACGTCAGTTCTAAGAATTCTATTTATACTCCCACTGACAGAGGCTTCCCTTGGAGAGCGCTGAGTAACGCAAGCCCGTTAAAAATCCCAACCTGTCCCAAAAAGTGATTGTCAATCTCAGGGCACAGCAGGGGATAGGAAGGGGCCACGAGTCCTCTGGGCTCCACTCTGTGCGGGGCCTCCGCCGTTCATGGCTGAAAGAAGGGGCAGAGGCTGGACTTTCACATTTAGTTGCAGCACTGAAGAGGCCACGGGAGAGCCGAGGGCAGGAACCAGGCTGGCACAGGGGGAGCGGGAGCGGGAGCTTGTGTGTGTGTGTGTACACGATGCCGCGTGGTGTGTGGTCTGTGTGTACATTGTGTACGTGCATGCTGCACGGTGTGTGCATGTGTACACGTATGCTGCACGGTGCATGTGCATGGTCTGTGTGTGTGTGGGGGGGGTGGTCCCGGAGGGTGAGAGCACACGTGTGATGGCGGCGTCTGTGGGTGCGTTCTGTGTGGCCGTGTGTGGCGGGGCTGGGCCGGGGGCCAGGAGGCTGGCGGGGGTTGCGGGGCCCGGCCGCCCTGCCTCCCACTTCCCTCCCTGGCCCGCGGGTCTCCAAGGCACCCCCAGTGCCACGGCGGGTGCGAGGCCGGGGAGAGGAGCACCTGCGGGCCCGGCAGCTCACGGCCTCTGACGGGGCTGCGGCGTGGGCGCCTTTGAGGCAGAGACCCAGCCTGACGCCTGAGGCCCTGGCCCCGGGTCCCCGCCACGTGGGCTGTCGCAGGGGGGCGTCAAGTGCCCTCACCGCCAGGCTGGGCCAGGCAGGAAGGCCGTGCTTAGAGGTCCTTGCTCTCCCAGCATGATGCCCGGGTCAGGTGCGGGGACACCGGGGACATCAGGGGAGGCCAGCCCTGCGGGGGAGGTGGTGAACACACCCACGTGTGGGAGAGAGGCGCGGGGACGGCGGGACAGGAGGAGGACGGCCTCGGGGCGGGGGTCGTGGAGCCGGGGTCACGGGTCAACAGTCTGGGGGCTGGGGGCCCGAGGAGCCGCCGCCCGGGGCTGCTCAGTAGGGGGTGGTGCCCTCCCACTCCACCAGGTACTGGACCTTGCCCTCGGGCGTGACCCTCCGCGCCAGCACCTGGTACTTCTCCCCGCAGGCCAGGCGCCCGGCCGCGCCGAAGTAGTTGGTGATGGAGGACTTGAGGTGGGACAGGGACGAGTCGTCCTCGCTGATGCTCTCGAACGTGTGGCTGTCGATGCCCTCGTCCGGCCGCTCGGGGCCCGACGCCACCTCTGCGCTGCTGTCGGAGGGGCAGCGTCCGCCCGGCTCGGCCGCCCGCCGCTTGGCCCGCAGCGGCACGTACGCCTTGGCCGCCAGCTTCCTCTTGCGGCTGCCCACCGTCCGCCTGCAGGGGCGAGGCAGGGGGCCCTGAGCCCGGCCCGGAGCAGCGATCGGGGTCCCCAGCGTCCCGAGGGGCCCTGCCTGCACCGCCCCGAGCAGCCGGGAGCCGGATGGCCAGAGCCCGGGCCGTGGACAGGGAGGCGCGTGTGCCACGCACACACGGGGACGGAAAGGGGTGGGGCAGGCACAAAGCACACGAAGGAGGGGCTCGGGAACAGGACCGGGCCCCACAGAGCTCGCGAGCCCAGGACGCGGGAGGAGGGATGCGGGCAGACGCCAGGATGTGGGGCCGCCGAGGACCAGCTGGTCCCCAGGGCCCCTGCCCGCCCCAGCGCGCCCTGTGGTGCCTGCCCCCTCCAGGCCTCCAGAGCGATGGCTCCTTCCCTCGGTGACTCAGGACAGCCCGGGGCGGCAGCCGGGGAGCGGGTCCCCTGCACAGGCCAGGCTCCGTGGCTCGGGCCCGGCGGTTCCACTGCGCACGGGCCGGGCGGCTCCAGGGCCCAGGCGAGGCCCGCGGGACGGTGGGGGGACCCGGACCACAGGCCTTCCTGCCCCCGGCTCACCTGGAGTCGTAGGACAGGCTGGTGGAAGCCGAGCCCGAGGTGCTGGCAGCGTCCGTGGAGTCCACGTCTGAGAAGAAGGTCTGGCCTGAGCTGGCACTGACGGGGGCAGAGGGTGAGCCTCCGCCGCGGGGCCTCCCCTCCGGGCGCTGCTGCCCCTGGGCCGGCCCACCCAGTGCCCCGCCGGCCGCCCGAGCAGGAGCCCCGGGACACCCCGACGAGCGGGCCCCCCACACCTGCTGCCAAACAGACCCGAAGGGCCTGCCTCCGCCGCACCTGCTGCAGCCTCATCACAGCCGGGCACGCACAGGCCGGGGGGCTCGGGGCGCCCGACGGCGCTGCGAAGGCCGCAGTCAGTGACCGCTACGGAGGCGCTGCAGCCGGGCCTGAGGGACCCAAGCCCTCCCCTCCTCCGGGAAGCACTGCAGGACCTTCAGGCGTTTGGGAACGAAGCAGCGGAGGGTGCAAGGCCCTCCCTGACGTGTACCAAGCACGGGGTGAGGTGGGAACACCGGGGGGCGTCGGGAAGGCTCCCCGGAGGAAGGAGCACGGGGCACAAAGGGGGAAGCAGGAGGGGCTGCAGGGGGTGGGGGGCGGGGGGGCCGGGGACGCTGCGACCCCTTGAGCTGGAGCGAGCCTGCCCTCCGAGCGCCAGGGGCCCCGCGGCTTCTGCCCCCGGGCAGCCCTCGACGGGCCCTCCTGTCACCTTTTTAAGCTCTGAATTTCATCCAGCGAGAAGTCAAAGATGCTGGCCAGGTGGTGGTTGGTGCTCCAGGCGGAGGTAAAGTCGCTCTGCGGACACAGCAGGGGCAGTGAGCTCAGGCCGCTTGGCGCCTGCCCCCGCTGAGGGCCACGCGGTCCCAGGCCTGCGGCTCCGGGCACCCTCCTCTCTGGCTCTGCAGCGCCGCCACCCGGGAGTGGGCCCGCCGGGGCGTCACCTGAGCTGCTGACGGTGCCCGGGGACAGCCCGCAGACCGGGGCAAGGGCGGGGGACGGGGGGAGGGGGGGCTGGGCCGGTGCTAGCGCCCCCCACGGCCGTGGCATGCTCCCGCCCTCGAGGAGGCCTTGGCCTCCGGCTGCAGGGTCCCCACCGCCGCCCCGCCCCTCCGCCTCCGGGACAGCTTGGGGACCTAAGGCAGCGGTCGTGCGGGCGTCTGCTCTTTAAGGGATGTGCGGGAGGCCCCCAGGGCCTGGGGGGCCGTGCCCTGCTTGGGAGCCCCCAACAGTCCGACCCTGCGCGTGGATGTGGAGAGCAAGAAAACAAGAAACTAACACTGGGAATAGCATCTTCCAGCAAAAACTTTGATCTTTTTCTTCTATAAACTCGCCTTTTCTGCTGCTGGAACTCGTGAGGCAACAGACTGTGGAGACAGAAAGGGGGGGCGGGTCAGAGCCCGAAGGCCGGACGGAGGGGGTGGGGGGCACAGCGGTGCGGGGGGGGGCACAGGCGCTGGGGCGGGCGGGCGTGCGGGGCCGCGGACAGGGCAGGACTCAGGACGCTCCGACCCGACGCCCAGGGTGAGGGGCTGCGCTGAGCCAGTGGGGCGGGGGCCCCCGGAGCTCACTGCCCCGTCCTGGCCCGGCAACTGCGCCCCAAGGCCTGGCTTCCCCCCAGGCCACACAACAGAGTGGGCGCGGGACAGAGGCCGGATCAGTGGCCGAGGCCGCGTGGGCCCCCAGCCCCCGGCCTCCTGGCCTCCAGCCCCCGGCCCCAGCCTCCCAGCCTCCCAGCCTCCACGGCCTTCCGGCCTCCGCGGCCCGGCACAGCCGTCCTGGGGCTGTGGCTGGGGGGGGCGGGGACCCCGAGCTGGGCGCCCAGGCACTGACCCGGGCTTGCTCCTTCCTCTCTTGCGCAGCTCCGAGGTGGCGCCGCCATCCGTGGGCACCAGGCCCTTGTCAGGCAGCAGCTTCCCAGGCGGGTTGGGGGGCACGCGGATGCGCAGACGGAAGATGCACTTCTTCTTCTTGATCTCCTTGCCACACAGGAACCTGCGGGGGGCGGGAGAGAAAGCTCTGGGGCCTGTGGGTCCTCCTCCCGGGAGGCGAGTGCAGCCTCGCCCAGAGCTGAGGTCCGGGTCGCCGCGGGCACGACACTGGTTCCTCAAGGCCATGGGGCCCGGGCTGGGCGGGGATGCGGCTGGGGGCTCCTCCCTGCCCCTCGTGGTTCTAGCAGCTCCTGCCCCTCTTCTCGGCTCAACCAGCCCCAGGGCCCCTCCTACAGGAAGGCCTCCTCTAGTTGGCAGGGAACTGCAGGGGCCCACACACCGCTTCCACACCATTCTGCTTTCTGGTCTCCTCAGGAGACTGCAAACACCTGCAGGCATGTCCCTCCTCCTTCCAGGTGAGCTGCCAGGTGAGGGGTGGCTCCGACAGTCCTCCCCCAGCACCCGTCCACAGGGAAGCCACCACGAGGGCAGGAGCCCCACTGCTCAAGAGCAGGACTGTGTCCGGGCCCCACCCCACGAGGGGGGACCACGTCCTGCTCCTCGCTGCGTGCTCAGGACCTACACAGGGCTGACGGGGCAGCAGTTCAAGCAACGCCGTCGGGGGGACAAAGGACTGAACGGGACGGAAGAGCGCTCCGGTCCACAGAGAGCTGAGCAGACCCCCTGAGCCGGAGAGCAGCGGGTTCAGGACGGCCGACGCCCAGAACAAATCAAGCAGAGGATCAGGGCAGGGTCTGGCCACGGGAGGTGGGCAGTGGCAGCCAGGTCTGTGGCTGTCGTGTGCTGAGGACTCAGGAGCCCGGGTGCGGGGGGGGAAGACACGGGCTGGGGATGGGTGAGGATGGCCACGGGGATGGGATGAATGGACCTTCCAGTGCCCGGCCCTGAACCACAGACGGCCGGAGAGGAGCGGCCCTCAGAGAGCAGGGGTGCACCCCCTAGGAAGCAGAGCCCAGGACTGACGCATGAAGCTGCTGCAGCGGTTGGGGGCACATCACAAAAGAGGCGGGGTGCTCCCCGAATCTGAAAGGACGGGTGGGACTTATGGAGCCAGAGACAGGGGTGGGAGACCCAGGCTGTAGCGCAGCTTGAGCAAAGGCCCCGAGGCAGGGAGGTGCTTTGTACCCAGTTCCACCTGTGGGGCCCCACGCACTCCCTCCCTTCCCTGCACGCACCGACTTTTGTAACTGTTCAGCGCGTTGAGGAGATGTGGTCCTCGGTCCGTCACGGGGGTGCTGGTGAGCTGAGGGGGAGCAGCCAGCAGGACAGTGAGACCCAGGCCCACGAGCCCCGTCCCCTCCCTCCCTGCAATCTCCGAGTGAGGACCCAGACTTCTGGGATCCTAGGTCTTTCCTCCTCTCTGAGCTCAGGTCTCCACCTGGAAATGGGGGAGTTAACTCCCGTCCTAAATGGATTAAGAGGTTCGATGGGGGGATCCCTGGGTGGCGCAGCGGTTTGGCGCCTGCCTTTGGCCCAGGGCGTGATCCTGGAGACCCGGGATCGAATCCCACGTCGGGCTCCCGGTGCATGGAGCCTGCTTCTCCCTCTGCCTATGTCTCTGCCTCTCTCTCTCTCTCTCTCTGTGACTATCATAAATAAATAAAAAATTTAAAAAAAAAATTAAAAAAAAAAAGAGGTTCGATGGGGCGCCGGGGTGGCTCCATCAGTGGAGTGTCTGCCTTCAGCTCAGGACATGATCAGGGGCCTGGGATGGGCCCCAAGTCGGGGGCTTGGGGGGGGGTCCCTGCTCAGCGGGGAGTTTGCTTCTCCTGTCTCTACTCCTCCACCCCCACTGGTTCTCTCTCTTGTGCCATCATTTGCTCTCTAATAAAATCTTAAAAAAAAAAAAGGTTGAAGAAGGCCCATGCCCTTGACCCGGCAATGCCACCGCATGGGCTCTATCACGGGGACGGAACGCGCAACACGGGCAAAGCTTTAAGTGCAGCGTTGTTCCCAGTGAGAGGCAGGGCACCTGCCCAAAGGAAGGAAAGCAGTAAGTCAACCGTGGTGGAAACCAGTGGGGCCCTTAAACATGCGGATGAAAGCTCTTTCACAGTATGGAAAAGTATTTATGATATAAAGCGAAAAAAAGTGATTTGAATTTTTACATACTGTATAACAGAAGCCCAGGAAAAACATAGAAAAAACGATGGACTACATCACTGGCAGCTGTTTCTGCGCGGTGTGACGGGGAGTATGGATGATTTTGTTCTTAGTAGGCTCCCCCCCAGCATGGGGCCCAGCGCAGGGCCCGAACTCAAGACCCGAGATCGAGACTTGAGCTGAGATCAAGTCAGACACTCAACTGAGCCCCGAGGCGCCCCTGGATGACTTTTTTTTAAAGTGTACTTTGTTGCACTTAACAATTTTCCTACCAGGAACGGTATGTTCTTTTTATAAACCAGAAAAAAATGTTAGTAAAAATACCTGCTCTACCTGTCTTTTAAGGCTTTACGATACGTATGCCTTTTTCTTTTAAAGATTTTTCTCTTAAAGATTTAAAGCCGACTCCCCGCCGAGCACAGAGCCCGACACACGGGGCTCCGTCCCAGGACCCCGAGATCACCACCAGAGCCGAAAACCAAGAGTCGGCTGCCCAGGCGCCCCGACAATATAAACGTCTTATAAATAACCAACGCTACAATGGGAGACGTTACATGAAGAGCGTCATAGGTCTTTTCTGTTTTTTTCGTCATAGGTCTTTAAGCAGAGCATTAAAGTCTTTTTGTTTTTCTTTTTGTAAAGTCCTGTCTCATCAAAGAAAGACTTGGGGCAGTGAGTAGGGCTGACACCTCGCCCCAGGTTGGTGGAAAGGACTCAGGTGGTCGTTGGGGAATGGGGCGCGGCTCCCCAATGGGAGAGGCAGGTAGGGTCCTGGCTCAGCCTCCGCCAGGGGCTCTCCACCTCCGCCACCCTCAGTCTCCCAGGCCCCAGAGCCTTCTGCTGTCAGAGGGGCACCAGCAGGGCGCAGGACCCTTGGCTCCCCCACACCCCCAGGGCCCTGCTCAGCTCAGACCCACCCCCAGCCCCTGCTGCCCGGTCAGCGAGGCCCCGGCCTGGGGCAGCTGAGAGACTCTGGGTCGTCCTCCCAGCCCCCGGGCCTCCGACGGGCGCCCGACTCTCAGCCCGCCGTCCCGCGTACCTTGCCGAGCTGCAGGAGCTCCCAGTGATGGTTGACAAAGGCCAGAATCTCCTCAAAGTCGAAGTACTTCTTCTTGCTCTGCACCCCCAGGTTGTAGAGGGCCAGGTGCACCACATCCACCCTGGGCAGGGGGGCAGGTAGGTGGGGCTGGGTGAGGAGGCAGCCCCGGGGCTGAAGGGCAGGGGCGAGGCCAGCCCGTTGGCTGCACACGCAGTGGTTCCCGGAGGGAGGTGGGAGCGGAGCGGCTGGGGGGGGACGGGGCGGGCGGGCCAAGCCCCAGCCTCTCACCATCGGAGGGGCAGCCGCTCGATGTACTCGGGGCCCTGGTTGCACACGGAGCAGAAAAACAGGTAGAACCTGGAAGGGGTGGGTGGAGACGGGGCTGTGCTGGGAGGGCTGATGCCCACCCGCGCTCCCCCCTGCCTTCCCCTGGGCCGTCCTCGTCCCCAGTCCCCAGGGCGGCGGCAGGACGGAGGCCCCATACCCCACCTCCCCTCCACCTAAGCCGCTCCCCATGTCCCGATCCTGGAGCACGGGGAGCTGGGGGTGAGCGGCGGAGGCTGCGGGGCTGCAGGGGCTGCGGGGGCCGGGCTGCGCCGGGCGCCCTCCTCCCCCCCAGACGCCCGCTCACACGCGCCACGCTCGGTCACAAACGCGCCACGCCAACCAGGACACACGGTATCTGGTGCGACACTCGTGTGCCTTCGACAGCTTCACCCCGCCCGGTAGAAGCCAGATCAGTCATCCTCCTCCCAAGGGCTTAGGGAAGGTGGGGCGTTGCCGAAGGTCCCCCCACAAGGCCATGGCAGCTGGAGCCGTGGCCTGGCACGTTCCTCTACCGAGAAGGGCCTCACCCCGAGCTGCCTCCCTTACACAGGTAGGTGCCCACGCTCAGAGACCCCGCCTGCGGAGGGCCTGGCAGGCAGTCGGGAAGCACTGCTGCCCCTGCCGTCCGCGCACCCCCCCCATCCGCCTTCCCACCCCCGAGGGTGCCGGGCCAGATGAGCACCTACCGGTCCCCGAACATCATGGGCTCATTGAGGCACTGCGTGCAGGCCTCGTGGAACCACTGTCTGCACCGGTAGCATTGCAGCATCCGCAGGTACCACCTGGAGAGCCAGAGGAGCCAGGGTCAGCCAGGCCCACGCTCCAGGCCGGGCGTCAGCCTCAGCCACTTCTCCCAACACAAACTTGCTCTCCACCGGGGGAAAGGAAGAGAACCCACGGTTACCGGTTACGGAGCACCGAGGCCGCGCCAGGGGAGGCCCAGGGAGCAGGCTCATGCTAGTCTGATCTCCCCGTCTGGCAAGAGACGGGCCCCCGGTCCTAAGCCTAAACGGCTTGTGCAAGGTCACTCAGGAGGCAAGTGGTGGGTGGTGACTCAGTCCCGGCCTTCCTCACTTCAAAGCCTACGCTCTTCACGCCACGGGAAGCCCCCATCTCTGCGCCCCCCCACGCTGCTTCTCAAACACCACCAAAGTGGACAGGTTTGCCCGGGAGACCTCGTGGGAGACCGATGGCCCCGTATGCTCCACGGGCAGCACCACGCCTGCTCTTCCTTACCCAGGGCTGTGCCTACCCTGTCGGGGCCAGTCAACGACTATTCACCGAATACGAACGAAGGGCAAAGTAGTACTTCCTTAAGGACAACCTAGGCTTTGTTCACAACTTGCCAGGTGAGGTCCCTGGACTGTGCGCATCACAATCACCTGGGATCTAGGCTAACCTATGGATTCCTTAGTCCACCCCAGACCTGCTCAATCACTGGGGGAGCCCCTGGGAGGTGCATTTCTAACAACCACCCCGGGGCAACTGTGCCCAGCCGGCACCGACAGCCACCGTCCCGCTGCTATACGCACTTCTCCCCCCATCCCATAGAGCCTCGCACACTCGGGGAAGTTGGGGAGGCCGGGACTGTCAATCCCACTTAGGAGACGAAGGACTTCACGTGATTTGCCCAAATTACCCAGCTAGCCTGGGTAAGCCCAGCCTCCAGACCCCGAGGACTTGTCAGGAGCATGGGGCTAAGATTCAGGACCTCAGGGCATCCCGCAGGCTGCGTCCTGAGGGCAGAGACCTCATCTCTCATCTGTCACTTCTGTGGCCCCTGCCACAATGCCTGGGGCGGTCAGCCCAGGGGAGCAGGCTGGTCGCCCAAGGCTACATGCAGACCCAGCCCGGTAAGAGCCACTTGGGCTCGTCCTGCAGTCGGGGCAGGGATCGCCTCCACAGCACCCGGCCAGGAGCCAACCGCCCCGCCCCGAACGCCGCCCCGAACCCCGCCCCGCGGCCTTACTCTCCGGGCCCGCCGCAGTAGCCCCGCCCCCGATGCCCCGCCCCGCAGAGGCCCCGCCCCTCGGCCTTACTCTCCGGCCCGCCGCAGTAGCAGTAGCCCCGCCCCCGCCGAGGCCCCGCCCCTAGCCCCGCCCCGCCGAGGCCCCGCCCCGCGGCCTTACTCTCCGGCCCGCCGCAGTAGCAGTAGCCCCGCCCCCGCCGAGGCCCCGCCCCGCGGCCTTACTCTCCGGGCCCGCCGCAGTAGCCCCGCCCCCGATGCCCCGCCCCGCAGAGGCCCCGCCCCTCGGCCTTACTCTCCGGCCCGCCGCAGTAGCAGTAGCCCCGCCCCCGCCGAGGCCCCGCCCCGCGGCCTTACTCTCCGGCCCGCCGCATAGCAGTAGCCCCGCCCCCGCCGAGGCCCCGCCCCCCGCCCCGCGGCCTTACTCTCCGGGCCCGCCGCAGTAGCAGTAGCCCCGCCCCGCCGAGGCCCCGCCCCGCCGAGGCCCCACCCCGCGGCCTTATTCTCCGGGCCCGCCGCAGTAGCAGTAGCCCCGCCCCCGCCGAGGCCCCGCCCCTAGCCCCCCGCCGCCTTACTCTCCGGGCCCGCCGCAGTAGCAGTAGCCCCGCCCCCCGCCGAGGCCACGCCCCTAGCCCGCCCGCCGAGGCCCCGCCCCGCGGCCTTACTCTCCGGGCCCGCCGCAGTAGCAGTAGCCCCGCCCCCGCCGAGCCGCCCCGCCCCGCCGAGGCCCCGCCCCGCGGCCTTACTCTCCGGGCCCGCCGCAGTAGCAGTAGCACTGCTGCTGGTTGGTGCGGTGGGGCGAGTCCCACTCGAGCTCCTCGGGCTGGTAGGACAGCACCATCTTCACGGCCTGCAGCGTCCTGGCGATGGCACCCTTCTTGAGCGCGCCGCCTTTCTGCGGGGAGGTGACGGTCCGGCTCAGCCGCGGGGTCCCGGCGGGGTGGCGGGGGTCGGGGTGTGAGGGTGCACGGGGCGGGCCCGGGGCGGCCACAGGAGTCTGCGCCCTGCCGCTGGCGAGGGGAACGAGGACCCCGGGGACCCGTGGATGTTCCAGGGTCGGAAGCGGAGGAAGCCCTTCTCGTGGATCCCTTCTCGTGGATCCCGCATCTGTCCTCGCTCCCTCCCAGGAGGATCTCTTAGGAATCATATTAGCATGAACACCAGCGATGAAGGTAACCAGGTAACCGTGATACCCAATACGTACTGAGCGGGGGTGCTCACGTGGGTTTTGTCTTTCCAGAGCAAAGCACCATTTATTGGGGGGCTCCTACCCCTGGCCCCAAACCCACATCCATTTTATCATTTGCTGAGGAAGCAGGCTCAGGGAGGCTAAGGCAGCCACCGGTGGCAGCAGCGCGGTCTGCCTCCAAGCCCAGGCTCTGGGACCTGCCGTCGGCCTGCGTGCAGGGGGTCCAGGCTTCCCACTGAGGCGGGGAAAGGCAGGGGCTGCAAGGACGGAGGGCTCACCCGCACAGCCAGCGCGAAGATGCAGCGGCGGCAGAACCACGGCGTGAGCAGGGGACGGTCCGCACTGCCCGCCCTGGGGATGTGGCACTGCTGGTGGTAACCTGCGGCAGAGGGGCGCTGCTGAGTGCCCGCCGGGAGGCAGTGGCCCAGCCCAGCAGCCCTAAGGCCACAGGGCTAGCGAGGGCAGCGCCAGTCGGAGGAGCCAGGGGCTGGCTGCAATGCTCAGCAACGAGCCGAGCTGGCGTCCAGGCAGGCGAGGGAGACAGCCTGGGCCCCAGTGGGGTTGGCACGACAGTCTGGCTTGGGCCTCTGTGCCCCACGTCTCCACTCATCCTTGCCAGGGGGTGACGGGAGCTCCAACCCACGCACGTTACATCCCTTTTCAGGAACCCCAGCTCTCCCCAGCGCTCCAGAGGCTGGCCCCTGTCACTCCGGGGTCCAACAGAAATGGGAAGCCAGCTGAGAGCCCCCAGTGGGACGCACCCACTGGGTCAGTGGTGGGGAACCCGTCGGGGGGCTCCTCCGTGCCCCGCTCACCACACTCACCCAGGCCACACTTCCCGCAGATGAGGATCTCATTCAGCGGCCCCGATGTCTTCCCCAGACAGATGTTGCACTTGGGCTCCTCCCCTGGAACGCCAGCTGAAAGGGAGAGAGAGACAGGGGCCCTCCAGGGTCAGGTCTGGCTCGCAGGAATCCCAGGATTCGCCTTCCAGGTGCTGAGCCGCCCCTCAGTGCGGGGCCTGGCCCTAGGCCCCGTGGGCCGGCTCGCTGCATCTCCCCAACACTCTGAGGTGCCTAGTATCAGTAGCCCATTCTAAAGACAAGGAAATTGAGGCTCAGAGCAGTTAATCCCAAAAGCTAAATAGAACTAGAAATGGGATTCGAACCCATGGCTGCTTGACACCCAATCCCTTGTTCTTTCTGACCATATCATGCTGCCTCTTCTGCCTAATTTAGTTTGTTAAGCACTTATTCATGTTACCAGTAACAAACAATGTCATAATGAAACTCCATGTTCCCATCATTAAGAGCTCGTAGCCAATCTTCTGACTGTATTCCCACCCACTTCCCCGTCTTATGTTATTTTGAACCAATTCCCAGATCCCTAATCATTTTCTGAAAATGTTTCAGTATGTGACTCTGAAAGATTAGGATGCTCTTCTTTAAAAACAACATAATGACAGTGTTTTGTCGCACTGAAAAAATCAAAAACAATTTCTTAATATCACCAACAAACTTAGTGTTCACATTTCCAACTGTCTCTTCAATAAAAGTGTCATAACAGTTTTGAGTGTGTTCAACTGCTTTTAATCTACAAGTTCTTTCTCATTTCTTTTTTCTTTTTTGGTTACTGTTGAAGAGTACGTGTGTCTATCTGTGAAAGGCTTGGGCGGATACGTTCATACACCGTGACAGTAAAGTAGTAAGCGAAATCAAGTGCTCAATGCCTGCGGCTTGCTCAGCCTTCTTGCTGTCCTCCCAGCGATGCCAGCGGGGGCTCCGTCCTGCCCGGGACGCACAGTTCTCTGGCTGGGGAGACACGCTGCAGCACCCGCGGGGGTCCTGGCGCACCGGGGGCCCTCTGCCCAATGTCTGTGGGGGTCTTCCCCGGCCGCTCCGTCGCCTTCAGTGAGGAGGTAACTCAAGAGAAGAGCTCCTCCGTGCTTTGGATCTTGGGAGAAGAAATTGAGGGCGAGGGGCGCTGGGAGAGGCGTCTCCACCTCCGCATCAGCCACGACATCTTGGTGGAGCCTCTGCGAACTGGCTGGGTTCTGTGGCCTCCACTTGGCAGGCGCCTTGAAATCCTTCCTTCTGGTAACACATTCTTCAGGAAGGGCCTCCCAGCAACTCAGGAGCCCTGGGCCAAGGGTCTCATGCAACTGCCCTGCGAGGCCACAGCCGTCATCACCTCCTTTCTTCAGATGAAGAAACCGAGGCTCAGAGAAGTGTCACTTGTTCAAGAACACGCAGCAAGCAAGGGGCGGAGCTGAAACTTGGCCCGAGGCCTACTGAGCCCAAGCTTAGAGCTCCAAGCGGGAAACGCGAGTGTTGTGACTGATGAGCGGGGTCTGTGATGCCCGTGGGAAGGGAGAATGGGGCCGCGGGGGGACTGTCAGCCCTCCGCAGGCCGGGATGGTGCCCGACCCAGCTCCCACTCAGCCCCGGAGCTGCTCCAGCTCCGCCCAGACATGTCCATCGTCGCCCTGCCTGGTCCATCCCTGCCTTCTCGGCTTCCCGCCACGGCTGGGGCTGCCTCCACTCGTTTCCCCCACACGTGGACCGGGCGCACTGTGCTCACACGCAGAAGAGCCAGTTCTGAGTGCCCCTCCCCGTTCCTGGCCCCGGACTGACCCAGAGCCCTGTGCCGCTGGGCACGAAGTGGCGTCCCAGCTCTCCCAGAACCTTCCGGAGCCACCTCCTCCACCTGCCTGCCTCCCTCGTGACGTGGGAGTGATCACAGGCGTGACAGACGTCCGAGTGCCTTTCTGTGTAAACAGGCTCGTCATCGGATCTCCTCAGGTGGGCCGGGGGGCAGGGGGGCCCATCTGACAAGGGCAGATGCAAGCAGTACCAGAGAGAAGGCGGCGGATGGGAGTGGAGGAGGAGAGCGGGCCAGGGTGGGGCAGGGGAGCCCGGGCCCTTCGGGGTACTCACCATGCTGTATGTCCTTCCAGAGGACCCAGTATTTGGAATTATCTTCAAAAGTCACAAGGCAGCTCTGCTTAGAACTGCTGACCTGGGCGCGGAGAGGGAGGGGCAACGTGAGAAAGTGGCTGGGGACGAGCCCCTGGGACATGGAGGTCCTCTCCCATCCACTCCTTGTGCTCCAGAAAGCAGAGTCAGGCTGGAAGGGGGAGGACAGTGGTTCCTGAGGCAGAGTGTGCCTGGGGCCTCACAGTCCCGCCCAGGGGACCAGGGCTTGGTGGGAATGCCGAGGACGGCGCAGGCCAGGTGGTCACCTGCGGTCCCCTCCAGCCTGACTTTGTTTTGTTCTGTGGGCTCGTAGAGCTCTTTTCTAAAGACCTGGCTGCATGATGTCAGCCCTGAGGATGGCACCTGCCCAAGCAGGCTCCGGCTCCTTCCACATTCATCTTTTGAGCATGAGGGGCACGAAGGGAGGCCCAGGCCAGAGGACGAGCAGAGACGCTGAGCCCGGGAACTGGGGCCGGGGAGGAAAGTTTACCCTCTTGATCTTCCCGAGGTAATACAGTCCATCTGTCCAGCGGCACAGCACGTACTGGCCCTCCGTCAGCTTGGACATCAGGTCTTTGAAGTTGTTCTTGGCTTTTGCCAGGGCCCCCTTGTTGGGGAGGTGGCTGGTGGCACCATAGGAGTCCCGAGTCCCTGGGTCCAGAGTACGATTCTCCATCAGCTTCCCCTGACACTGGAAGAGAGAGAGAGAACAGGGTTTTTACTCCTCACTCCCCGGCCCCCAACAGTCCATCCGGGGAAGGAAGGAGCCCACCATGGACGCAACCTGCAGTACGGTGTGCCGGGCGCTTGTTATCGCGCTGGATCCTTGTGACAACCCTGCGGGGGGCAGGTTATTACTCCCATTCCACAGGCAGAGGAACTGAGGGCCGGCAGGGGAAGTGGCCAGTGGGGCGGAGGCAGAGGCAAGGCTTCAGTGAGGTGCGCTGGTCCGCACCCCTGCCCCTCTTCCCACCTCCTGTGCAGGCGGCCTGAACTCCCAGGCTCAGGAACCTGAAGTTTCACCCCTTAGGCCTTCTCCGGGAGGGGAGCGGCGGGAAGTCTGTGCTCCCCCCACCCCGCCCCGAGATCTGGGAAGGAAAGCTCCCAGGTGGCTAGTGACCAGGTACAGACGGTCCGGTTGTGTCTTTTGTGATCCCCGTTTCTGCTCTCAGTTATGGGGTGACTCCATGGAAACCAATTCTGGGACATCTAAATGGGGCAAGTGTGCTCCAAGCAGTAAGTCATCACAGGCCACCGTGTCTGTCCGCACCTGTCCCTGTCACCACCCTATGAGATGCTGTCTTCTCCCTGCTAGTGGTACCACTGGTGGTCCCAGAACCCCCGGGCATCTCTAGGCTTCTCCCACTAGTCAGGTGCCGCCGTGTGCCAACTTCAAGCCCAGTGGGCCCTGGCATCCGGCCCCTCTTTTCTGCGGCCCCGTCCTGGTCTGATCTGAGGCCTCCCTTTTGCTTGGGCCCTTCATTCACTCACTCGCTGTTGGGGAGCCCTGCGCTCGCATGCTGGTCCCCCCTGCCTCCCCGCCTCCCCGCTTCCCCACCAGACTCTCCCAGCGGCCGACAGCTCCCTCCGGTTCTCCCGGAAACCTTCTGTGGCTCCCCGTGTCACCTCCGGCAGGGGAAGCCGTCCCCGAGGCCCAGGCCCGCCTCCCCTCCTGCGCTCACCTGGCTCGGTGCCCCTGCGCGCTCTGCGGAGCCCACACGGCCGCAGCCACAGCCACAGCCGCAGCCACAGCCCGGCTCCGTGCCCTGCACCCGCCCCGGGCTCCCCCTCCCCGCGGGCACCGGGCACCGGGCACCGGGCGGCGGGCGGCGGGCGGAGGCTGCCGTGTGCCCCGCAGGTGCCGGCGCGGGTCCGGGCACGTGCGTGGCCGTCGGGGCCGGGGCGGGCCGGGGCGGGCGGGGCGGGCGCTCCCCCCAGGGCGCCCCTTTCCGCGCGGCGGGCGGGCGGGCGGGGCGGGGTCGGGCTCCGGGTCCCCCCGTCCGGGTCCCCCCGTCCGCCCCGGAGCTGACACTTCCTCGCGGCGCCCAGGGGCCCGGCCGCGCCCCCTCCCGCGCCTGCCCCCGCCGGCCCCGCGGCGCTGATTGGCTCATTCAAACCCGCCCGCGAGGGCCGCCTGCCTGCGGGTTCGCCGCCGCGTCCGGCTCCGGCTCCGGCTGCGGCTCCGGCTCCGGCTCCGGCTCGGGCTCGGGCCCGCGGGGCGCGGCGCTGACTCAGGCCGGGGCCTCTCGGGGCGGCCGGCGCGATCCGGGGTGTCGGGGCCGGAGGCCGCGCGGGCGGGACCGCGACCCCCCCGACCCCCCGCGGCCCCGGCGCCCCCGGCCCTGGGCCGCCTCCCGGGCGCCCGCGGGCAGGTCAAGGCGCCGACCCGCCCTGCGGCTGCCCCCGCCCCGCCCGCCCGCCCCGCCGCAGCCCCGGCCCCGGCCCCCCCCGGCCCCCCCCGGCCCCCCGCGGCCGCCCCGCGACCGCCCCGTGCGCCCGGCTTACCGCGAGCCCGCGCGCCGGCCGGTCCCTCCCGCGGTCTGCCCACCCGGCGCCCCGGCGGAGGAGGCGGCCCGGCCGAGTGTCCGCCCGCGGGGCCGGGGTCGGGGTCTCGCGGGGCGGGGCGGGCGGGCGGGGGAGGGAGGGGCCGGCGCTCAGGAAGGGGCCCCCCGGGCGCGGGGCGCCATCTTTTTCGCGTTTTCCCGCGAATTATTGACGTCCCGCTTATGTAAGTAGCGGCGGCCGCGCCGGCCTCGCCATTGGAGCCCGCGGCCCGCCCGGCCCCGCAGCGCCGCCCCCGCGCCCCGGCCCCGCAGCCCCGCTCCGCCCCGCCCCGCCCCTCCCCCTCCCCCCGCGCATCCCCCGCCCCTCCCCCTCCCCCCCCCGCGCATCCCCGGCCCCGCCCCTCCCCCCCACGCCGCGGACGCACGCGGAGGCCCCGCCCCCGCCCCGCCCCCGCCCCGCCCCCGCCGCGCCCTCCCGCCGCTCGCCTCGCGCTCCGGTCCCCGCGCGCTGCACTCGGAGGCAGAGCGCGGGCCGCCGGGAGGGGGCGCGCAGCGGGCGGCGGGGGGCAGCCTGGGGGCGCGGGGCGGGGCCTGGTCACCGCCCGCGGCCCCCCCCCCCCCGCGCACCCCGAGGCCTGCGGTCGGCCCGGCCCAGCCTCCCGCGCTGCCGGCGCCCGCCCCGCCCCGCCCCGCCCCGCCCCGCCCCCGCGACCCCGCGGCCGCCGCAGCCCCGGGGGGCGCCCACGGGCTGTGCAGCTGGGGGAGCCCCGGCCTCGGGCCCTCGGGCGCATCCCCGTCCGTCCCGGGTCGCCTCGCCGGCTGCTGCGTAGACGCGGCTACAGCGCGGTGGCGGGCGAGGACGGAACCGGCGGGGCAGCGGCGGCGCGGCCGGGACGGGGCAGCCCGGGAAGCCGGACCGCGCCGAGGCGCCGCACCTGGTGGTGGGCGGCAGAGCCTCGGCCCGCGGCGCAGGTGCGCGCAGGTGGCACCTGGACACGGAGGTGAGCGCCCCGGGCGGAGGCAGCGGGGTGCGCGGGCGGCCGGGAGGCCCGGGGGGGGGGCGGGAGGCGACGAGCCCGTGCGCAGCCCCCAGGCCGCTGGGCCCCGCGGACCGGGCTGTGCGCTGCGCGCGTCTGAGTTTGCTTCGGGAGCAGGCGGGTGGGTTCAGAGTGGGGGCGAGCGGCACGACGACAATCCAAGGGCGGAAAAGGAAAAAAAAAAGAAAAGAAAAAAAAGAAAGAAAGAAAAGAAAAGAAAGGAAAAGAAAGAAAAAAAAGGAAAAGAAAGAAAAAAGAAAATAAAAGAAAAGAAAGAAAAGGAAAAGGAAAGAAAAGAAAGAAAAGGAAAAGAAAAGAAAAGAAACGAAAAGAAAGAAAAAAAGAAAAAAAGAAAAGAAAAGAGAAGAGAAGAGGTCAAGGACGCCAGTGGGCGCTGCGCCGCCGAGGGGGAGAGCCACAGCGCGAAGACAGGAGGGAAGCGCAGCCCCGCGGCCAGCGACGGCCACGGCCTGACTGCGGGACCGGCCTGCGGAGCGGCCCGTGCACCTGCACCGCGGGCCCTGCAGCGAGACCCAGGCAGCCGCTTCTCCGCGGACCTTTCCTGGGGAAAACAGAAACCAGCCTCAAGCAGCGAGACAGGTGCAGTGTGTTGTGAAAAAAGTCTTGAACACTCAGCACCGTCCTGTCGTCCTGTCGGTGTATCTTAGGGACGCAGGTACCAAAAAGTGTTAGAACGGGCGCAGGAAATCCGACACCCGCTCTAGGATAGCGGGTCCCCCTAGGCGGGACGGTTAGGGAGGAGGCCAGAGAGAGTCACAGGGACCGGGCGTCCGAGTCTACCTGTGCTGATCTGTTTCCCAGGAAATTCAAAATACCTGAAGCAAAGACGGCAGCGCGCCAAGATTGGGCCGAGCTGGGTGGCCGTCCGGGGTGGCTCTCTGCCATCCTCCTCCGTCTCAGGCCTGAACCCTTTCCTCTATTTTCTGTGTGTTCAAAATTATTTGGGGATTCCATTTATTTGTTCTTGGTGACCTCTACACCCGGGGGGGGGCGGGGCTCAGACCCACGACCCCAAGACCATCACATACCCCTCCCTCAGAGCCGGCAGGGCCACCCCCGAAGTACTGGCGAGTGGGGGAGGCCTGGAGAGGCCGAGGGCCGCCAGACCTGGGGGAGCCGGCGCAGGAGCCTCCCCACCTGCTGCAGGTGTGCGCGGGGTCACCCACGATGGGAGCAGGCAGATCCCCTCGGGTCACCCACCCTGCGGTACTTCATCCTTCTCCACGTGCTGCCCTGTCCTTGTTTTTCCTTCTGATTAAGGATGACTCGGAAAAGCCAGAAAACCACAGGGAGGAGGTGCAAGTCACCTGAGATTTCCACAGTCCTCTAGGTCCACTTTGCTGAGGCACAGGTCGTTCCCGCACGAGAAATCCACCTGCTTTCAAAGCGCAGCGCCTTGTGCTTTGGCAGAACAGGATTTCGTTCTGGAAGTACTTTCCGGGTGCTCCCCGAGAAGGAATGCTCTTCACAAATACGGTAGTTATTCCTGTAATATGATCTTTCAGACTCGCGATGGTGAAGTTCCTTTTGCCCACGAGGCCAGGTCACCGGCTAGGTGGCCCTCGGCCTCTGTGTTTCGTTGCCTGAGTCTGGGGGTCAGTGTATAATGTCCCCGGCGCAGAGGAGCCGGGAGTTTTCAGATGACAGTAGAGGGCAGGATCGTCAACAACCACCACAGGGACACTTGACGGGGTGGGACTGTGAGCCGTGGAAGCGCCTGTGGCCTTGGTGAGCGGCCAGGCCACAAACACCCTGACCTGTGGCTTCTGTGGGGAAATGAGAGGAGGCAACCGTCTGCCCCTCTTGGAGCCCAGAGCGGGAGGAGACGGCACAGGACACAGGAGATCCTCGGCCTCCCGGCCTCCCCGCAGGCGCGCTGCAGACCCTGGGCCCCTCCTCTGAAAAGTGCTCCCCCACCGCCCCCCCACATCTCAACACTGAGCACCCTTTAGGGGAGCGGGTGCCGCCCGAGGGGGAGGGGGTGACACAGAGGGAGATGTGCCCTGAAGTGACACGCAGCCTCCAGCCTCAGAAGGGCCTGGTCCAGAGCTGGCAGGTGGGCAGACCCATCAACAGGTGACCTTGACGTGCACTGGGAGAGGGGCCCGGACGGCAGCGGTGGCCCCCTGCAAGGTCCCGTGGCCTCCGTGTCCTTCCGGGAGCTCCCCCGGCTGGGAGCCTCGAGTGGGTCACTTCCTAATCTGGGCTTTGGATTCACTCGCTGGTCAAAATGCGACACTTAGGACAAATGCGTGGTTCTGGTGTGTGCACAGGCTCTGTGTGAGGAGGTGACCAGCGAACCCCGCTCCCGTCCGGTGATGATGACCTGGTCCCGTCTCTCACGTGAATCAGGTCCGCCGCTACCTCGTGTCACAACTTTGATAGGATGTGAGTAGCGTGATGGTAGGAGTCGGTACCTGAGCGGAAGGACAGACAGACAGAGCCCCGGCCTCGGCCCAAGGGCTGCGGGTGTGCAGTGCGTCTGTGTGGGTTTGCGGGGTGCTCCCGGGGCGCCGTGAGCTGTCCTTCAAGCTGTCCACACGAGAGATTGCACAGAGCCACGCAGGCCGGCGAGTCCAGCACCTTCCAGGCGTCTTTGCTGGGACAGAGCAAGCCCCGGGTCCCCGCGGTCGCTGGGCGCTGAGCCAGGCCCCTCCCGGGCATCGGAGGGAGACGAGACCCGGCCGCTCAGGGAAGCATCTGCGGAGGGCAGCACGGGCGGTAGGTGGTGCGCCTCCCCGGCGGGGAGGGACCGGGACCCCGCTGGGTCCGCGCCCCCAAAGCCCCGGGGCCCTGCCGGCCCCACCCTGCCCCCTTGTCTCACACTGGGGTGTCCGAGGCGGTCCCCGGGGCAGCGGAGCGAGTGCCCCACGCCGGTCACTGCCCCGGCCTCCACGCCAGCTGTCGTCGCTCCATGTCCCTCGTAACCAAGCGCCACCCCTGGCAGAGCTCGGCCGCCACCCCGGGAGGTCCAGCTCTGGAACCCTGACCCCTCGCTCGGCGTCCCCTGTGCACGCGGCTGGGGGCCCGTGGGGGCCCATGCGGCCCGAGATGACCTCAGGGCAGCGTGGGTGTGGGGAGCGCCGCGAGCTTCCCCCAGGCCCACGTGGCGTGCTCCATCCCCGAAGCCACTGTACCCGTGGAGCGAGGTGGGGACTAGGACTCTCCTGCTTTGCAGGTGGCAAACCTGAGGTTGAGGTGGCCAGCACACGTTAGACACCTGCCATGGCGGGGGCGGGGGCGGGGGCGGGGACGCCCACAAGTGGAGGAGACCTCCCCGGGCAGGGCTCCTACTCCTCATTACTAGATGGGGACACTGGTGCTGGGAAGCAGGTAAGGCTTGCTCAAGGGCCTGCGGGAAAGGCACGGGCAGTCGGCAGAGGAGCCGTCTGGGACCGAGGCCCGGCCTCCTGGCCCAGGGATTGGCGTCCCGCAGGCCTCCGAGTCTGGCCGCCACAGCTTGTTTAACCTTCTGGCTGAGCGTCGCCTGGGGTGTGAGGGTCTCACCAGCGCCGCGGGGACTTTCCGCCTGGCTGGGGGCGTGTCCCGTAGCCCTTCGGCCTGGGGAGCCCGCGTGCCACGGCGCTGGCCACCGAATCCTCGCTCCATCGCTGCTCGGGAAAGTCGGGGCCTGGCCGCCGCGCTCCGTCCCGCCCCGGCCCTCTGGCCCCAAGCGCGGCGGGGGCTCCAGGCCGCCCCCCGTGGGAGATGCCGCCCAGACGCGCTGGGCTCCAGCCGTGGGCTCCTCTCCCCGAGGCCGGCGTGGCGGGTGCGTGGGGCCGGGTGGGGGGCTCCAGAGCAGCGGCCCTCGGAGGGAGGTGGCCCGGCGACCCCTCGGTGCGGTTGATGTGTGCACCGTCGGCTGGGCATCCCCGGAGGCGGCCGGAGGTCAGGGTCAACCCCGGGGCCTGCGTGGCCTCAGCCGCTCAGCCAGGGGCCCGCCAGCAACACCTGGGGTCCCCGGGGTGGATCGCCTCCCCAGGCCGGTGGCTGCCGCCCCACCTGCCGCCCCACCCGCCGCCCGGCCTGTGGACTGTGGCCGCAGGCCCGCGGCCCTGAGAGCCGGTCCCTTACGCCTCCCTGTGAGTGAGCCAAGCGGCGGGGGACCCCCTGGCATGCACGTGTCCTCACTGGTCCTGTGCTGCGGAGCTCTCTTCCCGCCTCGGCGGCTCGCTCCCCATCAGGCCCTCGGGCTCCCCCGAGCCCCGTGATGCGCACGCAGGCCCCCGCGCCTGCCCTCTGTGCGCCCGGCCGTCCAGCCCGCCCCGCCCCTGCAGGCCCTACTTCAGCGGCCTCTGCGCTCTCGCGCCCGCAGAAGGGCCAGAAGGACGCCGACGAACCGGCCGTGGGAGGCGCGCAGAGGCCTGGAGGCTGGCGCTGCCACAGTGCCTGCCGGCTGCGCCCCTGCAATGCGGCACGTCCGGGGCCTCGCAAGAGGGGTGGCGTCAGCGTGCTGGGGCGTCCGGGGAGGCTTTCCTGGTCGGGGTCCCCGGGCCGGCGCCCAGAGCACCAGGAAGAGGCCATTTCCCAGTAGCACCGTAAGCCGCACCGGGCCTGTGACCTTGTACCCGTCTGGAAGCCTGGTGGTGAGTCACCAGGGCCGTCTCTGTGCGTCTTCAGCAACGAGGGACTTGGGGGGGACAGTGAGGCCTCACAGAACCCACAAGAGACCAGACAACACGCTGGAGCAAAGGGCGGGGCCAGGACCACATGGGGAACCCCAGTCACTGGAAAGCTGCAGGTGCGGTGTGATCCAGGAGCCTCTACGGAGCGGGACTTTACCGAGGGTCCCCTTGCCCCGACTCGAGGTCAGCTGAGGAACAAGCACCTCCTTGGCGGGCGTTGCATTTTCACACATGCCCATCGTCTGCCCAGTGGGGTTGGGGTGCTGACGAGGACCGTGCCTCTCTGGGCTTTCCAGGAATGCTGGCCCTGGGAAGCGCTTCTGGGTTTCTCCTTTCTTACAATCGGAAACTACCCCCAAAAGGGAACCGGCGTTCTGGTCGGGTATGTGGACAGGTGTAGGTACCCGGGATCTGGGGGGGATGTGGACAGAGTGTAGGTACCCGGGGATCTGGGGGGGGGTAGACAGACTAAGTAACAGCTAAGTGGAGGACTGTCCTCCTTAACCCGCGGTGGGTCGATCGTGTTCCCTAGAGGCAGGGAGGTGATGAGGACAGTCGCGATGCATGAACTAGGATAGCCTGGGGTCAGGTCTACACCGGCCGGCGCCGTGATGCTGGGCTCGTTGCCGCGCCTCCAGGACCCGATGTCCTCCGGTGAGAAATGGGCCGAGGACGGGGAGCCGTGGCTCAGAGAGGTGCCTGTGAAGTGCCAGCGGGGGGCCTCCTGCCCCGGTGTCCTTGTGTCCTTGCATCCTGGCGCCTGGTTGCAGCCTCGCCCCGTGACGGCCCAGCCGAGCTGGCGACACAGCGGGTGACAGGCCACCGAGTGGTGCTTACCCAGTGCCTGACGCGGCCCTCAGCTTGCAGGGCGAAGGCGCGGCCGTGGGCGTGCCGCGGGCCATGGGCTCCCACATGACGTTCACCCCACAGGTGGCGCGTCTTCCCATGGCGTGTACGCAACCCTTGACGTTTTTGTTTTATTTTTTTTAAGTTTTTGTTTTGTTTTTAGATTTTATTTATTTACTCATGAGAGACCCAGAGAGAGAGAGGCGGAGACCCAGGTGGAGGACGCGGGACTCGATCCCGGGACCCCAGGGTCACGCCCTGGGCCAAAGGCAGGTGCTAAACCGCTGAGCCACCCAGGGATCCCTAATCCTGACCCTTTTAATAAAAAGAAATTGTATTTTTTATGGTGAAATCTATTTAAACGACTAATTCCATCAACATTTTTAAAGTTTTTACTTAAATTCCAGTTAACAACCTCGTGTTACATTGGTTTCAGGGTACAGGACGGTCACCGAGCCCTTCAGACACCACCCCGTGCTCATCGCAGCACGTGCCCTCCTGAATCCCCATCGCTGGCCCCCCCCACCCCCGTGGTCAGCTTGTTCCCCAGAGTTCGGGTCTGTTTCTTGACTTTTCTCCCTTTGCTTGTTTGGTTTCTTAGGTCCCATGTGGGGGTGTCTGCGTGGGGCACGAGCCTTCCCTCACTGGCTCCATCCGCGGCCCTGCCCGTGGCAAGATTTCATTCTTTTTGATGCTGAGCCACACTCCAGCATGTGGACACGCGCACACGCACACGCACCCCGCTGCTTCCTCGTCCATTCACCAGCCGGTGGGTGCGGGCAGTTTCCATAATTTGGCTCCTGCACACATGGGGGTGCACGTGCCCTCTTGTGACTCAACGTAAATACGCTTCTCAGGCCAAACCGAGCTCGCCCGGGGGCTGCATTTAGCTGGCAGGCGGCCACCTGGCCATGACTTTCCCAGGGACGCTGTGGACACGTCAAGTCAGGGAGGCACGCCCGCCCTGCACAGTCACCCTGTCCCCTCGGCGGACGCTGTGGGGCCTGGGCCAGCGCCAAGGGCATCCGGGGAGCACCCCAAAGTGCGCTGCTGGGACGGCGCTCCTCGCCTCCCTGGCGCTCCTCCGCGACGGCTCCATGCACCTGCTGCCACGTGGGATGGGTTGGGCGGCTGGAAGCTCACGGGACAACTGTCTGGGTAACGTGCAGGACCTCAAGGCCTGCGCCTGGCGCGCCTGTGTCAGTCCTGGCTTCTTCTGACCTTCCCAACTTGGGCTTTCCTGTTGTCCCTCGTCACACGACCACACCCCTACCCTTCAGTCTCTGTTTTCTGGAATGAGGCATGGCATGCTATAAATAAGCCCATGTGCCGGTAAGAGCTCAAAAAAAAAAAAAAAAAAAGGCTTGTTGAAGAAGTGACTACTTGAATGACTCATCTCGCAGGCCCACCCAGAGCCCAGAGCCCTGCACAGAGCAGGTGTTCAGGAAGCGAGGGCAGGATGATGGGGTTTAGAGATGGGGAGACCACAGGCCTGCCATTTCCTAGCCGCCGGGACCTTCGCCCGACTATTCAACCTCTCTCGGCCTCCATTTCCCCACCTGTAAAATGGGATCAGCGCAGCACTCGCCTCAGCATTGCTGCAGGACGGAATGCGATGATGCGCGTGAAGCGCCTGGTACAACAGGCACCTAGTACGCGGCAGCTGTGACCGCCCCTAATCAGCGCGCCCTGGTCTGTGATGTGGTTGTTTAAGGACCTTGTTAATAAGGTGCGGCACCCACGGGCATCCTCTCGCTCTGCTCAGGCCTGACGATGAGGCCAAATGCACCCGCTGGGGAAGAGGGTAGAAGTGAGTTCCGGGAAGCCCTCTAGTTCCTCGCCTCTGTGCCCAGGTGTCTCTCCCCACGCCCAGGCCCCCGGTCGCAGGTGGCCTCCTCACCCCGCCTCGCCCCCAGCACTCTTTCCAGCATGCCCTGGTGCCGAAGACCCCGTCCTGCCCCTTCCATCACTCAGCTCCCCAGCCCTAGATCGGAACGCCCCTTTCCTGGAAGTTTCTCCTGATTCTCCCCAAGCTTTCCCTCTCCTTCCCTGGCCCTGACCGGCCAGGCCCTCTCCTGGTGATCCCTTAGGATGATCCCTTCGCATGAAGGTCTTGGGTGGGAAAACGTCAACTTTTCTCAAGTTACGTTGCAAGTGTAATGAGATTCCAACAAGAAATCTTCAAAATGTTTAATCACGTTTATTGTATCTGGAAGAATAAAAGAAAACATGTTTTAAAATAAGAGTAATTTTTTAAAGATTTTATTTTGGGATGGAGTCAGTAGTGGAGCGTCTGCCTTTGGCTCAGGCTGTGACCCTGGGGTCCCGGGATCGAGTCCCGCATCAGGTCCCTGCATGGAGCCTGCTTCTCCCTCTGCCTGTGTCTCTGCCTGTGTCGCTCATGAATAAATAAATAAAATGTTTTTAAAAAGTCAGATGCTTAACTGACTGAGCCACCAGGTGCCCCTGAATTATATCTTAGTAAAGCTGTTACCAAAACATTCCTGGCTCTGTCCCTTACAAGTTGCATCACCGGGACGAGGGACCCTACCTGCCTCTGCCTCAGTTTCCCTAAATGTACTGGCGACTGTGACAGCGGGGGAGCTTGTGAGCTTGTTGTGAGTCAATGAGGGGAATGGCGTAAGGGGTTAGCAGGGTGCTTGATGCACGCGGAGCGGAGCCCTACGTGAACAGCATCCACCGGGCACTTGCACCGTGACAGGTGCACCCGCGTGGCCGCTGTCCTGGGCACGATCCTCGTGACCTCAGGGGTCCTCCCAGCGCTTCGAGCCGTGGAGACGCAGAGAAGGCCCAGCTGGAGCGTGTGGGGGTGGGGCAGGGACGGGGCCAGGTGGCCCTGGGCCCGAGCTCGGGTTCTGAACCTCAAGGCTGTCCGGTTCCATGCGCTCGTGCCCTCGCGTTTGTGTGGATTCTCCTACTGCCCCAACCCCGTTGGCCGCACAGCCCGAGGCCCCGCTTCACGGCCCACCCACCTCCTTCCAAACTGCTTGTCTCCTGCTTACAGCTATCAGATGCCCCCGGAGAAAGGCTGCCGAGCCGGGCGGGCGCCCCCCGGGGTGGGCAGGGTCAGGCCTGGGGAGGAAGGCCCCCGGCGGCCCCCTCCTCGCCCGACAGACCTCTCAGCTTGGGCCTCGTCCTACGAGACGTGCGGCCCAGAGCCCTGGCTCGCCCGGGGCGAGCGGCTTGCTTCCCAGGTTCGGGCCCCCCAGCCCTGAGCCCCCGAGCACGGGGACGCGGCAGTCGCGGCGGCCCCCACCCGCAGGCCTGAGAGCCAGCCGTGCTGAGGCAGGGGGCTCAGCGGCTGAAAATAAAAGCCGCGTCTTGGGGGCAGGGGCCTGGGGGTGGGGCTGGCCGGCTGGGGGGCGAGGGGTGCGCCCGGCACCCCCGCGCTCAGCGGCCCGGCGGCTGCTTGTCTCCCCAGCGCGAGGCCTGTCCCCACCGAGAGCGGGCGGGGAGCAAGGCCCTGTCCGCCACCCGTGGGCACGTGGCGCCTGTGACACGCCGTGCCAGGGAGGGCGGGCAGGACCGTGATCGTTTTACGGACGGGGCCCCGGGGGTGTGAGGAGCAGCCCCTCGCGGGCTTGCGAGCCAGCAGCGATGGGCATGACGGTGGGTGGGCAGAGGAGCGTCGCCGCAGCTGGAGCCTGGGCGGCCCCAGGAGCCGAGCACGGCGGGTCGGGGAGGGCCCTGCGGAATCGGCCGCGGCCTCCCAGGTGGGAGGACAGGTGCGGGCCGCAGCCGGAGGCAGGCCGGGTCTCCCCGCAGGGCCGGCAGCGCCGGGAGGTGTCAGCAGCTGCACCCAGGGCCCTCCCACTGCGGCGGCCTGGCCGACTCCTCGGGCGCCCTCAGGAACGCACAGTCGCTGTCTCTGGTTTTACGCGTGTTTGGAAGGAAGCTGTGCTCAGGGGCTCCCGTTCCTCCAGGCTGCAGGGCTCGCGGGCGGTGCGGCAGGCTCAGTGAGAGGCGCCCCCCGGCGCCCACCCGCCCGGGCCTCCGGGGCCAGCCCGCTCACGTCTTGCCGTCCGGCCCGCTGCGGTGCCCTGGGGTCCTGGGCAGGGCCCCGCCTGCGCCCTACGCGTTTGTCTCCACGATGCACTTGAGGAACATGGTGTCGTCCTTCACGTAGGCGTGCTTGGGCGACTGCAGCCGGCTGAGGGGGAAGAAGAGCGGGCAGCCGCTGGCCACGTTGGTCTCGCTCTGCGGCCGCTGGAAGGACGCGGAGCTCAGGTCGGGCCGGAAGGCGTCGATGGCGTGCTCGCGGTTGTTCTGGTCGAGCAGCATGAAGGTGACCTGGCGGCGGGGGCGGAGGGGTCAGGCCGTGCCCTGGGACACCGTGCCGCCCCTGCCCCGCGCGGACGCGGAGTCCAAGACGCAAGGTCGGGAGCACGCTGGGCCGGGGTGGGGGCTGCCCTGGGAGTAGGGGTGGGGCTTTGAGCCAGGGGCACGGGAATCCCGAGCCACCATCACTCTGGGGCTCAGGATGGGGCTGCACAGCGACGAGGGGGCCCCACCCACACCCCCGGTGCCCCTTCCCACTCTGGACCGTGAGGCTGCTCCTGGGACCAGGCACGGGGACAAGGACAGGCGGGCCTTCCACCCAGGGGGTCGGTCGATGCCCTGAGCCCGCACGCGGACCCCAGACACGGGTGGTCCCGCGCCACACGAACCCCTTCCCTGGCTCGTGTCACTAAACTCTGGCTGCCGACCGCGGGGGTCCTCTCCCAGCTGCCGCGCTTCACGAGGCTCGGAAGGTGACGGGAACCGAGACGCTCTGGCCTCGCCTGTCACTGTGGTGAGACCCTGCGGCGGCGCTTTAAGACCCGGGGACTCCTATCCCGACCCCTGTGGCAGCCCCCCTGCCCCCCTGCCCCCCCCGGCCTGGTTCTGGAGCACCCCCTTCCTTCCCCACTCACCGTGCAGGGAACGCCTCACCCCGGCTCCTCTCCTGTCCTTCTAAATAGGTTTTTCTAAAGAAGAGCTTATTTATTTACTCATGAGATACACAGAGAGGGGCAGAGACAGGCACAGGGAGAAGCAGGCTCCCTGCGGGGAGCCCGACGCGGGACTCGACCCCGGGACCCCGGGGTCATGCCCTGAGCTGGCGGCAGACTCTCACCGCCGAGCCCCCCAGGCGCCCCTTCTAAATATTTTTTAAGACACTTTGTAACTTGGAGCAGTTCTGGGTCACGACACGCGTGGATGGAAGCTGCAGCGATTCCCCGCGCGGCCTCCCCGCACCTGGAGCCGCCCTGACACGGTGCAGCCGCCCAACGTCTGGGGTCCGCTCCGGCCTCCCCCGGGCCCGTGCACTCCCTCTCTGGGCTGGAGGACCGCCGATGACGCCCGCCCCGGGGCGCGGTACAGAGGCGGGGTCGCTGCCCTACGCTCCTGAGCGCAGCCCGAACTCACCCTCGAGCCTGATCTTTCACCGGCTCCACAGCCGCACCTGCCCCCGAATGGCCCACGGCTGGGATCCCGCAGCCCGTCGCGCCCCGTCAGGCCGGCCCCTTCACGCAGGATCACCTTTACGGGTCCTCTGGGCCCGACGGGGCCGCGCCGAGTGAACGCCCCCGTGACCACCAGCACCCGCACCCCCCACGGCACCGTGGCCACCTGCACGTTCAGGCAGCTACCCGCGACGCTGCCGGGAACACCTGTGTGCCGCCTCCGAAAACCAAAGTTTTTGACTCATCGGGCTCATCGGCCGCCTCCCAGGGCGTGCGGTGGGGTCGTGCGGGAGCGTGTTTCACGGGGTACGAAACCGCCAGACGGGCTTCCGAGTTGCGTCCCGCCCAGCCGCGATGGAGGGTTCTGGGGACTCCCCGTCCCCGCCCGCACCTGCTGCGGCCAGCGTCCCGGGCTGACAGGCGTGCCCTGCCCTGGGCTCCTTCCCATTGAGAACGCTGCCACTTGAGGCTAGCCCCACGGCACCTCCTCCAGGAAGTACTCCGTATTCACCCCCATGGGGGTCGGGGCTCCAGGCCGTCGGGGGCGCCGGGCCAGCACTTTAGCCCCCCAGTCCCTGACAGCCCCGGGCGCGAGGGGTGTGCTCAGGCTCTGGCTTTATACGAGGTGAAACTGAAAATGCAGACGGGACCAGGACCCAGGCTCCCCGCCCCCCACCCAGCCCGTACCTTGTTCCGAAAAGGCCAGGGCAGCAGAGCGTCGTACTCCCCTCTCATGATCACAATGAAGAGCGACAGGTGGGTCCTCTTCCCGGTCCCGTCCCCATTCAGGTAGAGCCGCAGGCACAGCTTGTAGCCGTACTTGGCCGTGTAGAAAGCTGAGGGGTGGAGGGCTCGGTCAGCACGGGCAGGCCCACGGGCAGTGGCTCCAAACTGAGGCGCCCCACTCCAAACTAGCGCGGCGAGGAGGACCCGGCTCCGGGAGGTGACCTCGCCCAGTCGTCTCCTACCCGTTGCTCAGCCGTCACCCAGACGGCCGCCCGGAGGTGACAGGCGCGCCCGCCGAGGACTGGATGCTGAAGCTACGGGCCCTGGCACCACGCTTCTGATTTTGCCCACCCGCGTTTTGCAGAGGGGAGGCCCAGCCCCGTGGCCGGACACACCGGGCGCTTGCGGCAGAGCCAGAAGCAGGGCCCGGGCCCACCCCACGGCACCGACTTCGTTCCGCTGCCCTAGGCCAGGTGCTCAGCCCCCTGGACGCTGGGGAGCCTGGGGCAGCTCCCGGGTCTGGCCGCCACCCCGGGTGGGCGCCCCGGGGGATGAATCATCCCTGATGATCGCCCAGAGGGGCCTGGGCTCTCCGTGGGCAGCAGAAGGGGCTGTCGGAGGGTGCGTGCCCGCGGCTGTCACCGCCAAGGCCATCGGGGCCAGGGGGCAGGCGGGAAGAGGTGCAGGAAGAACAGGAAGGCAGAGACGGGGCTGCTCCTGAGGCAGCGGGCTGGCTTGGGGAGCGCCCGCGCTAACCCGGCCTGGGGGTCGCGGGTGGGTCTGAGGAGCTGACGACCGGGACGGCGTGGAGCCGGGCCCGTGCCAGGTCGCTCACACCCGCCTGCAAAATCCTCCACCTGCCTCAGATGCACACGCGCAGGGTGACAGTGAGAGTGTTGTGCAAATACACTCGCTGTTACGTAGATGGAGCCCCCTGATTAGCAGAAACTTCTCCTGGGGCACTCAGCGGCCGAGCGCCTGCCTTCGCCCAGGTCGTGATCCCGGGGTCCGGGGGTCGAGCCCGTGTCAGGCGCCCTGCTCAGCGGGGCGTCTGCTTCTCCCTCTCCCTCTGCCCCTGCTCGTGCTCACTGCCTCTCAAATAAATAAATAAAGTCTTTTAAAAAAAAACAAACCCAAGGGACTCCTGGGGGGCTCAGCAGTGGAGCACCTGCCTTCAGCTCAGGGCATGACCCCAGGGTCCTGGGATCCAGTCCCACATCGGGGTCCCCTGCAGGGAGCCTGCCTCTCCCTCTGCCTGTGTCTCTGCCTCTCTCTGTGTGTCTCTCATGAATAAATAAAATCGTTAAAAAAAAAACCCAAGAACAAAGTAAGAGAAACATCTGCTGAGTGTTCTCCGAGGGCGCGGCGCCGGGTGAGGAAGCACCTGCGAGCTGCCCGCCGCCTACGACGCCGTTCGGCTTCCTCTGCGCTGGCCTCGCTCCCCGGCCCTGCGGACGGGGTCCTGCGCTGGCCCTGCGGCACGTCCCTGCGCCCCTCACGCCGAGCAGCTCTGGCTCGGGCACCCTCTCCGTCGCGGCCGGGAGCCCCGTGAGGTCAGTAACAACCTCATGCCACCTGGCGGAAGCGGGCGGCTAGGGACTCGAGGGGGGCCCGCGTCACTCTCCCCACCCCGGGCTCCGTGTGGCTGCGGGGCCCGCCGCCTGCGCCCCGGGGTTTAGATGGCCCCGCTGGACCCTGCGCGGCGGTCACCGGCTGGCTGCTGTCCCTGCTTGCTTCCCGGGAAGCCTGTCCCCCGCACCCCTGCACCCCGACACCACCCTGACCCCCACCCCCACCCCCACGGGTCTGCACCTGGGGGAGCAGTGGGTACCTGGTGAGAAGAGGCTGACGGTCCTGCCGCAGGCAGACTCGTGGCAGCGCCTGGTGACGTTGGTGATCTTCCACAGGAACGTGCCGTCGAAGGAGGCCTCTTCCGTGAGGCGCAGGCTCTGCTCCAGCTTGCCCAGGGCCTGGTCTTTCTGTGCCAGCGTCTGCTGCAGCTCCGCCACCTGCGCCAAGGAAGCCCAGTCACCAGGGAGCCGGGGACTTGGGGGGGGTGGCATGGGGTGGGCTCGGGGGGGGTGCATAGCCGGGGGCTACATGGAGGGGATGGGCAACAGGGAGCATGGGCGGGGATGGGGGGCATGGTGAGGCACGAGGCGGGCACGGGGGGGGGACATGGAGGGGATGGGGGATGGGGCGTGGGCAGGGACGGGGGGGCACAGATGGGGGGACATGGAGGGGATGGAGGACACGGGGCATGGGGGGACACTGGGGGGGTACAGCACAGACGGGGGGACATTGGAGGGGATGGGGGAGGGGTAACAGGGTAACGGGGGGCACGGGGGGGAGGGCACAAGGTGAGCACAGGGGCCGCGGAAAGCCTCCCCCAGGCACACATAGTGGCCTTGTGCTGTCCCCCGGCTTCCGTCCCCCCTCCGTCCTCCGCGGCCCCCACCCTACCCCACGGCCCACACAGCCGGCCCCTGGGAGCCTCCCCTCTCCACCCCGGGGGCCGCAGGACACAGCCTGTGCCCTTTCCACAGGGGGTCCCCCGACGAGGGCCAGCTGGGCTCACTGCTCAGGTACCAGAGCCAGGAAGGTTCTGGATGCACCCAACACACGGCTGCTGCCCTGGGGGGCCCACTGCGACCTGAGGCAACGGCCACATAGACAAACGCTCGAACCGGGGCCCGCTTCTCTGCCAGGTGCCCCCACTGACATTTGAGAAAAACACGGACTTGTTCTCGGGGAAGGCAGGAATGGAAGTGAGCGTCCTGAAAGGAAACCGAATCCCTAATTCTCGGCTGGGCAAGCCGGAGTCCTGAGAGGGGACGTGACCCGTCCAGGCCTGCACAGCAAGGCCTGGAGAGCTGGAACTAAATCCAGGCCTGAGCCTGCGTGAGACACCGATGGAACGTTGCTGGACAGGAAAAAAGGGGAAAAAAGGAGCACTCTTGGCACGGAGACTGGTTATATCACGACAAGTACGAGCTCTGGAGCAAGGGAGGGCACAGCCCTCTGGTCAGAGGGGTCATGTCGGGGACTTGGGGTGGGACCACCGAGGCTGCTGAGCTTCAAGGAGGAAGTCCTCGTGGACTGCTGGTCTCTGAAGACCTGTGCAGGGCCTAGGGGGCAGGTTTGCGCAGGGGCCTGCAGCGCAGGGCCGGGAACAAGGCACCAACTACACCGAGGGGCCGATTTTAGTTTAGTATAAGAAAGAACTTTCTCATAGTGAAAAACGCCCAGCGGCGGAGAGATGTGCTCGGGAGGGGAGCAGCCTGTCCCCGTAGAGATTCAGGCAAGGGATTGAGCCGCACGGGCTGCGGGGTTGGCCCTGGCCCTGCCTGTGAGTCAGCACCCTCCTAGGGGGTCCTGGGCCCCAGGAGAGGGCCTGTTTGTAGGGCAGGGCGGGTGGTGGTGGGGTCGGGGAGGAGCCTGTCTGGTTGTGGAGGATGCTGCGGGGAAGCTGCCTGCGCTCCGGACACCAGCCGGGTGGTGGGGCCTCTGAACCCACTGGGCAGGGCCTTGACCTGGGCTGCGGGGTCCCTAAGCCCACCGGGCAGGCCTGGCTGGCCGCAGGGCCTAAGCCACCAGGAAGGGCCTTGACCTGGGCCGCGGGGTCTCTAAGCCCACCAGGAAGGGCCCTTGACCTGGGCCGCGGGGTCTCTAAGCCACCGGCAGGGCCTTGACCTGGCCGTGGGTCCCGAGCCACCAGGGGCCTTGACCTGGGCCGCGGGGTCTCTAAGCCCACCAGGAAGGGCCCTTGACCTGGGCCGCGGGGTCTCTAAGCCCACCAGGAAGGGCCTTGACCTGGGCCGCGGGGTCTCTAAGCCCACCGGGCAGGGCCTTGACCTGGGCCGTGGGGTCTCCGAGCCCACCAGGAAGGGCCTTGACCTGGGCCGCGGGGTCTCTAAGCCCACCGGGCAGGGCCTTGAGCTGGGCTGTGGGGTCTCCGAGCCCACCAGGAAGGGCCTTGACCTGGGCCGCGGGGTTTCTAAGCCCACCAGGAAGGGCCTTGACCTGGGCCGCGGGGTCTCTAAGCCCACCGGGCAGGGCCTTGACCTGGGCCGTGGGGTCTCCGAGCCCACCAGGAAGGGCCTTGACCTGGGCCGCGGGGTCTCTAAGCCCACCAGGAAGGGCCCTTGACCTGGGCCGCGGGGTCTCTAAGCCCACCAGGAAGGGCCTTGACCTGGGCCGCGGGGTCTCTAAGCCCACCGGGCAGGGCCTTGACCTGGCCGTGGGTCTCCGAGCCCACCAGGAAGGGCCTTGACCTGGGCCGCGGGGTCTCTAAGCCCACCGGGCAGGGCCTTGACCTGGGCCGTGGGGTCTCCGAGCCCACCAGGAAGGGCCTTGACCTGGGCCGCGGGGTCTCTAAGCCCACCAGGAAGGGCCTTGACCTGGGCCGCGGGGTCTCTAAGCCCACCAGGAAGGGCCCTTGACCTGGGCCGCGGGTCTCTAAGCCCACCAGGAAGGGCCCTTGACCTGGGCCGCGGGGTCTCTAAGCCCACCAGGAAGGGCCTTGACCTGGGCCGCGGGGTCTCTAAGCCCACCGAGGCCTTGACTGGCCGCGGGTCTCTAAGCCCACCGGGCAGGCCTTGACCTGGGCCGTGGGGTCTCCGAGCCCACCAGGAAGGGCCTTGACCTGGGCCGCGGGGTCTCTAAGCCCACCAGGAAGGGCCTTGACCTGGGCCGCGGGGTCTCTAAGCCCACCAGGAAGGGCCTTGACCTGGGCCGCGGGGTCTCTAAGCCCACCGGGCAGGGCCTTGACCTGGGCCGTGGGGTCTCCGAGCCCACCAGGAAGGGCCTTGACCTGGGCCGCGGGGTCTCTAAGCCCACCGGGCAGGGCCTTGAGCTGGGCTGTGGGGTCTCCGAGCCCACCAGGAAGGGCCTTGACCTGGGCCGCGGGGTTTCTAAGCCCACCAGGAAGGGCCTTGACTGGGCCGCGGGGTCTCTAAGCCCACCGGGCAGGGCCTTGACCTGGGCCGTGGGGTCTCCGAGCCCACCAGGAAGGGCCTTGACCTGGGCCGCGGGGTCTCTAAGCCCACCAGGAAGGGCCCTTGACCTGGGCCGCGGGGTCTCTAAGCCCACCAGGAAGGGCCTTGACCTGGGCCGCGGGGTCTCTAAGCCCACCGGGCAGGGCCTTGACCTGGGCCGTGGGGTCTCCGAGCCCACCAGGAAGGGCCTTGACCTGGGCCGCGGGGTCTCTAAGCCCACCGGGCAGGGCCTTGACCTGGGCCGTGGGGTCTCCGAGCCCACCAGGAAGGGCCTTGACCTGGGCCGCGGGGTCTCTAAGCCCACCAGGAAGGGCCTTGACCTGGGCCGCGGGGTCTCTAAGCCACCAGGGCCCTGACTGGCCGCGGGGTTTCTAAGCCCACCAGGAAGGGCCCTTGACCTGGGCCGCGGGGTCTCTAAGCCCACCGGGCAGGCGCCTGGCTGGTCCGACCCCAGGAGGCCTGCCTGGCCGCGGGGTCTCTAAGCCCACCAGGAAGGGCCCTTGACCTGGGCCGCGGGTCTCTAAACCCACCAGGAAGGGCCTTGACCTGGGCCGCGGGGTCTCTAAGCCCACCGGGCAGGGCCTTGACCTGGGCCGTGGGGTCTCCGAGCCCACCAGGAAGGGCCTTGACCTGGGCCGCGGAGTCTCTAAGCCCACCGGCAGGGCCTTGAGCTGGGCCGTGGGTCTCCGAGCCACAGGAAGGGCCTTGACCTGGCCGCGGGTTTCTAAGCCCACCAGGAAGGGCCTTGACCTGGGCCGCGGGGTCTCTAAGCCCACCGGGCAGGGCCTTGACCTGGGCCGTGGGGTCTCTAAGCCCACCAGGAAGGGCCTTGACCTGGGCCGCGGGGTTTCTAAGCCCACCAGGAAGGGCCCTTGACCTGGGCCGCGGGGTCTCTAAGCCCACCAGGAAGGGCCTTGACCTGGGCCGCGGGGTCTCTAAGCCCACCGGGCAGGGCCTTGACCTGGGCCGTGGGGTCTCCGAGCCCACCAGGAAGGGCCTTGACCTGGGCCGCGGGGTCTCTAAGCCCACCGGGCAGGGCCTTGACCTGGGCCGTGGGGTCTCCGAGCCCACCAGGAAGGGCCTTGACCTGGGCCGCGGGGTCTCTAAGCCCACCGGGCAGGGCCTTGAGCTGGGCTGTGGGGTCTCCGAGCCCACCAGGAAGGGCCTTGACCTGGGCCGCGGGGTCTCTAAGCCCACCGGGCAGGGCCTTGAGCTGGGCTGTGGGGTCTCCGAGCCCACTGGGCAGGGCCTTGAGGTGACCGTGGGGCCTCTGAGCCCACCTGGCAGGGCCTTGAGCCGGGCGGCGGACCCCCGAGCCCACCGGGCAGGGCTGGGCTCCCAGCTCACCTGCTGTTCCAGGCTCAGGATGTGCTCGCGGTCCAGCTGGCTCTGGTGGATGGAGGCGGCCAGGGCCAGGTGGGAGGCCTCCACCTCCTTGTTGAGGACGGCCACGATGTTCTCGAACACGCGCAGCTTCTCCTGCAGCTCAGCCAGGGGCTTCTCCTTTGTGAGGCGCTGCAGGGTGTGCTCGTCCTGGCTGTCGGAGCGGGGCGCCCGGTAGCAGTCCAACTCCAGGTCCCCAGCCACCTCCACGGCCGCCTGCAGCTGCAGATCCGACAGGTTCCGCTCCAGGGTCAGGGCCGCGCCCCCGGGGCCACGTGGGGCCATCCACGGCGTCACGCACCCCAGCAGCAGGTTGAGGTGGGTGGTCTGCGAGGCGACCTCGTGCTCCTGCATCAGCCTGGGGCTGCCCTGCGGAGGGTGGTGGGGCTCATTGTCCTGCTGCCCCAGGGCTCCCGGGAAAGTCATGTCCCCCCACCCAGCAGAAGGGAGGAAGAGGGCGCTGGTGAGGGCCCTGGCATCACACACACCCGGCCCACGCGCCTCCTGCCCACTGGAGCATCCGCGGTGCCTCAGCTGTGTGCAGGGGTGAATCAGGACCACGCAGAGGGGGGCGGTGTGGTGAGTGACTTGGGGCTGGGGGAGACATTACAAGAACGTCCCCGAGCACAGAGAGGATTCGCTAGTGGGATCTGTTGCGCTGACAGGTCAGTAATGTTAGGGGCACCCAGCGGCGCAGCCTGACCCGGAGGGAAAACCTGGGGCGGAGCGAGGACACCTGAGCCCATCCGAGCCCACCCCGAGCGGGGACGCCCCGGGCCTACCTTGTAGGGGCAGCCCACTCCAGCAAACGGGCAGCCGACCTCAGCCTCAGCCACCTCAGGCGGATCCTGGAAGCGACAAGCGTGTCACCACATGTTAAGGGGTCCCAGCGGCCACCCGGCTCTCCTGCAAAGCCCAGGACCCAGCAGGGCGCCAGCGGGTGGCCCTGAGGAGGCACATGCTGTTCCGTCCGCCGGGGACTCCTTCAAACCCGACCCAGGCCTCTGCTGCTGTCCTGCTGGCAGCGCTGCCCCCTCCTGTCAGGACTGGTCCACCCGGCTTGACAGTTGTCCCCACTGCTCTGGGCGCCTGTGAGGGTCACAGTAGCATTTCCAGCGTGGGGGGCAGTGACCACTGCGGGGGCGATGCTGGGTACACGCTGGCTGCTTGAGTGAGCACCTCCCCTCTCCTGCAGCCCCAGGGCCTCTCCCCATCTCCCCCTCCCGCAGCCCCGGCGCCTGTCCCCGTCCCCCCCTTCCTGCAGCCCCAGGGCCTGTCCCCATCTACCCCCTCCCCCTGCCCTGGGCTTCAAGCACAGCCTGTCCCCAACGAGGCACAGGACCCAGACGTCCCGCTGAGGCAGGGGCAGGGGTGGCCTTGGCGGAGCCGGGACGGGAGCTGCAGCCTCTCCCAGCAGGTGGGGGGGCGTGGGGACGGTGGGGTCCCCGAGACTGGTGCGGCCCTGGGCCCTGGGGGCCCAACCAAGGTGTGCTCTTGCCCAAAGCAGGAGTCGAACGAGGGATAAGGAGGCGGGAGCCGGGCACCGAGGGCTGGGAGTGCGTAGACCCCGCGGGTGGAGGGGTGGGGCGCGTGGTCGGGGCGCTGGGCCCCGCTGCTGCGGTCTCTGCGGGGCAGGCCCAGAGCTCAGGACGGCGCTGCCCGGGGGACTGAGGATGAGCAGGGGGGTGGTGGCCGGTCCCACGGACTCAGGGGCGCTCCAGGGGCCTAGGCGGCCAGCCAGGCTGTCCCAGGCCCCCTCGGGGCAGCACACGCTCCTGGGGGAGCTGCGGGGCGTGGGGGACGCTGCCTGTAGGCGCGCCAGGCCCGTTCCAGTCACTTGACACCCAAACTGTTGGGTCCTAGGAGACTTACTAACCTCTCCCTGCCTCGGTTTCCTTATCTGCAAAATGGGGATGAGGATGACACTGCCCTGTCCCTGCGCAGGTCATCTGCTGGGACTCCCACCCCTGAACGTGACTGTGTTTGGAGGCGGGGTCTTCACGGAGGTAATGAGGTCAGAGTGAGGGCGGGATAACACGCCGCCGGGGAGGGCAGCGGCTACACGCGGGCCGGGTCGGACAGACCCGCCTCCCTCAGCCCCCAGGGCCGCGAGAACGGGCGCTGAGTGGCTGAGGCCGCGCGGCCTGCGGGCTTCTGCGCGGGGAGTGCAGCCGCGTGGGCCCCGGCGGCCGTGGGGCCGGTGTGCACGGCGTGGGGAGCGCGGCCCGCGGCCTCCGCGCCCCGCAGGCTGTTCTGCTGCCCTCGGGTCTGCTGCTTTCCCCTCCCCCTCATTTAATCCCTGCATCTCGCCCTCTTTTAAAACAAGACTTATTTACCTGCCTGAGAGAGAGCGGGCGGGTGGGGAGGGACAGCGCGGGGAGGATCCTGAAGCGGACCCCTCGCGGAGCGTACAGCCCCACGTGGGGCTCGATCCCAGGACCTGAGGTCATGACCCCAGCTGGAATCAGGGGTCGCAGGCTCCGCCGCGGAGCCACCCAGGCGCCGCCCGCACCTCTTGGACCCCTAGTGACTGGCCCGGTAAGACCCTTCGGGCCTGGGCTTCCTCGGGCAGGTGGAGGCATCCTGAAGGTGCGCGTGTACCTGGGCCGCGGCGCCTGGCGTGTGTCCCCACAGGGTCCCCGCAGGACCTCGGGAGGCGGGTGGGCCGGACCAGCTTCCTGTCTGTCCGGGGAAGCCCGGGCCGTGGCAGCCGTGAGCTCACGTGGGCCTGAGGCCGCGGAGCCCCGGGCTGGGCCTCTGTCCAGTTAGAGCCCTGCCGGCCCTGCTGCCCCCCCCCGTCCCCCCAGCACCGCGGCCGCGGCCCTCACGCCCCGGAGGAGGCTGCGGCTGAGCCTCGGCTTCTGCCTCAGTGGGGAGCCGACGGCCGGGGTGGCTCAGGGCAGCGCCGAGGAAGGCAGCGGCCGAGTCCATGGCCCGGGTCCTCCCGCCCAAGGGGAGTCCTCGCCTTAACCAGAGGTGGCCCCCCCGAAAGGGTGGGGACGAGGCGCAGGCGGGGAACCGGCTGGGGCTGCGGAGGGAGGATGGGCGCCTGTCCGGGCCTGGTGCGCGTCTCGAGCCCCAAGCGTCCCCACGCGAGCCCCCCCCCCCCGCCCCACCGCCTGCAAGAAATGACGTTCACAGTGGAATTGCCTCTGAGGAGGAAACAGAAAGATCCCGGCCCGCGGGGACGCTGCTCCTCCCGGCTGCGCCCCAGGGGCCCGCGGGCCGCTCCCCGCCCTTTGCAGTGGCACCGCAGGTGCGTCGGGAGCCCCCAGGGCGCTGCGGCCTCTGAGCGGCGAGCGCCTCGAGGTGCGGGGCACAGGGACCCGCCACTGCCCGCAGCAGAGGGCCGGCCACGCGGCGGCTCTGGGGCTCGGCACCCCGGGGTGCGGCCGGGCCCTTCACGCGGGCGGGGGCCGGTGGGGTGCACCTGCCTATGCGGCCCAGCCTCCTCCCTGCCGCCACCTGTTGCCTCTTTGGCAGCTTCTGCTCCCGCGTCCTGCGGAAGGCCCGGCCTGGGTCCTGGTCCACACCCGTCTTGCCCTTTCCCGTGTTCCCGTCACACTTGGTGGAGTCCACACGGCCTGCGTGACCCAAACCCGCATTGGACACTTGGGGTCACCCGAGGTGCCTGCAGCCTGGAGGCAGGGGTCACGACCCAGGTTTGCCTCCTACTGCGATGGGACCTTGGTCCACGCGCACCTGCTCCCTGGGCCTCAGTATGTCACCTGCAAGCTGGGAGACGTGGGCTATCGCCCCACCCGTGACACCACGTGTCACAGGGCCGTGAAGCTACCGAGGCAACTCGCGAGGCCAGAAGGGCCCAGGGTCATCCGCAGGCATCACGCTTCCAGGGACACCGGTACACGGGGCGCACGGCTGTCGCCAACGAGGGAGACTGGGACGGGGCCCGAGGAACACGGGCGGCGTCCTTCCACGGAGGCAGGCCTGCTTCGAGGGGCGGCGGGCGGCGGGCCGACGGAAACACGGAGGGAAACACACGTGGGCGCCGTACAAGCTGGACACGGAGCGAGCGTCAGGGGCGCCCTGGGCGGAGGAGGTCACAGGCCCGCGGCCCAGCGTAAGTCATGGCATCGCATGCCAGCTGCGGGCTTCTCCAGGGGCGTCCGAGGCCAGAGGGTGGGAGAAGCCGTCCTCTCCCCAGGCTCGCCGGGACACAGACCTGAACGCTTTTCCCAGACACCCGCTGTTCCTTATTTCGCTGTCCCATCCTTGGGCAGGTTGGGGTGGGCCGTGGCAGGTCGTGGCGGGTTGTGGGAGACAGTGACAGGTGGTGGCAGGCGGTGGCGAGGGCCGTGGCAGGCCGTGGCGGGCCGTGGCGGGCCGTGGAGGGCCGGAACCGGGCCGCTAACCAGGTCACAGTGACCCTTTAACCTCTGGCCTTGCGTTAGTGCCGAGCCCACGGCTGGAGCACTTGTGGGACAGACACTAGGCCGATGCGGTCAGAGGACGAGGACCCCCTAAGAAGCACCTGGCCTGGGTGCTGTCCACAGGCTGGGCGCCGGGTTACCTCGGCCGGTCCCTGGCCACCCCGCACCCCATTTCCCAGGCTCTCCTGCACCCACAGACTTCAGAACGACCACGTACGCAGAGCATTGACTTCTCATCAGCGGCTTTCCTTTGGTCAAAGCCCCCAAGTTCCCTTCGGGGTCAGGAGGCAGAGAAGCTTCTGGTCTTCCCAGTCTGTGGCTCTGTGCAGGTGGAGACCACCTGTGCGTGAGCCTCACCCCGGGCCGGGAAGCCGGGGTGGGAGGTCTGCAGCTGCCGGCGCCCCAGAGGCCCCCGTAGGCAGCACCCAGGCCCCCCGAAGCCCATCGGCGTCCGTCATTCTCCCATCGGAGGCCCCTGGCGTAAGGAGCAAGCGGCAGCCTGTGCCCTGCACGACCCCGGAGCCCCCAGAGCCCGCGGGGTGGGGGCGGCAGGAGGGGGCGGGTGCCAGGCTCCCCCCTTAGAGCACGGGTTCTGGTTTCGCATTCACAAGGATGAAGACTTAAAGCCACTGGATTACGGCATCGAAAGGTCTCTCACCTCTCAGACCGGAGATTCGTACAATGAACACGTATTGATTTTGTTAAAGAGGAAGAAACACGACAAAGTGGAAACGGTCCCGGAGCGCTGGAGCGGGCAGGGGCCCCGGGAGGTGGCGGCGGCCTCCCTGGGCAGGGACCGTCCGGGCCGTGGGTGCTGACCCCTCCCGCTGGGCTCCCGGGCCCGAGACGCCCACCGGCAGCCTGGGCCTCGCACGGGCTCTGACCTGGCGCAGGCCCGAGGGCTCGCGGCTCACCCTTCCTCCCGTGGGGGCCTGCAGGGGACGGGCTGCTGAGATGGGGGTCCCTCCGCTCTCTGACGGGAAGGGACAGGAAGGCGCCAGGACTTGTGGCCTCCGGCTTCCACTTGGCCATTCATGGCGGTCACCTGGCTGGCGCGGGTCCCGGGGTGCCCCTGCGGCGCCCACCTGGCTCCTCACTTGGCGGCAGGAGCGCCATCTGGGCCGCGGGCGTCGGGCTCCGACGCTGGGCCGTGGTCTCGGGTGGGAGGGCCCGTGGGCTGCGGGCAGCAGGGGCTTCCAGCGGGTGACGGCGGCCGGAGGGGAGACCCCGGCAGAGACTCCCCGGCGGGTGCAGGGTCCTCCGTGGACCACCGCGGCCTCTCACCGCCTCGGCCCACGCACGTTTGTTCTTTTTTTTAATTGGAAGATTGACGTGCACATTGCCGTTTTAAAAATTGTACCAAGTGAAGACTTTCTCATTAACCCCGTCACCTCCCGCCCCCACCATTCCATTTGCGTGGAGACGCGTCCGGGGAGGACGGATCCCGGACAAGGGCTCCTTCTACGAACGGAAGGCGTCGGCCCTCCAAGAGTCTCACTGCGATTTCCTTGCTTGTCTCACTTGGTCACCGGCTGGCGGGAGCGGCCCGGCCCGGGTTGGCACGTGGGAGCTTCACGGGCCGCAGGTCCAGGGCCACACGCCCCGTCTGGACACAGGGATCCGGAGCGTGCTCCCCTGGGGGCTCACACCGCACGGCGGCTCTTGTTCCTACAAGCACAGCCCGGCCGAGCCTGGGGGGCGGACCGCGGCCTCCCCGCGGGGGGCGGGCGGGGGCAGGACGGCCGTCTAGGTCCCCAGGTGGCACCCGTCACCCACCCACCTGTGCCGGGGCGGCGCAAGCAGCCGAGCCCAACACGGTAACGACCGGCTCGGCGCTGAGGACCAGAAATCTGAACCGCATAAGGTCTTCTTCATGTCACCAAATGCCACTCTTTTGAGTTGTTAAAACCAGTTAGAATATAAAAGTCATTCATTCTTCACCCGGCCCCGCAGGCTGGGTGCACCGTGTCCTCCCCGGTGGGTCACCTTGCCGCCTAGGGACCCGCCCTGCCCCACCCTAGGCTAGAGGCGGGAGCCTGCGGGGGCTTCGGGGTGCTCACCTCCGCACGCCCAGCACCCTGCCCAGCGCCCTTCCCGGCCACGTACCTTCTCCTGCGACAGCGGGCTGCCCGGGCTTCCAGACTGCGGGTCGTCCCCCTGGCACTTTGGGCAGATCTGGTCCTCGCTGCTCCTGGGGACACGGGAACACACGCCGCCGACACGTTCACGGGCTGCCAGCGGGCCGCAGGCTCACCGCCCCGTGCCAGCACCCCGGGGCCTGGCCGGCAGCCGCCTGACCTGGGGCGGCGGGGTGTCATCCCCGACTCACCGCCCCACCCTGCAAGGCTGTCGGGTTCAGACACCAGAGCGCGCTTGATCACAGGCGCAGCCCGACGCCCGCCGGGCCGAGGACGTCCTACCCCGCTGACCCGCTTTCTGAAAACCCGAAGAACTCTGAATTCCCAAATACATGTGACCCAGGGCCTCGGGTAAGGGACTGTGGACACGTGGCTGCGTGTGCCCTCTCGGCCACTCTGCTTGGCCTGGGGTCTCACATCTCCAGCGACGACAGGTGACCACAGGCCATTAGAACAAGAAGGAGCCTCCGAGAGCAAGTGACCCAAGGCTCTTCACCAGGAGCGCGGGTCAGACTCTGAGCGGGCGACGCCGGGACCCACATGCTGTCAGAACGCTCCCGAGTGATGCTGACCCACGGGACGGCCACCTGTCGGTGGGAGCACCTGTCGGGGGAGCACTCGCCACAGGGAGCACCCGTCAGCGGGAGCCACATGTCAGAGGGAGCACCTATCAGTGGGAACCACCCATCACAGGGAGCATCCGTCAGAGAGAACACCTGTTACAGGGAGCACCCATCACAGGGAGCCACCCATCAGAGGGAGCCCTTATCAAAGGGAGCATTTATCAGAGGGAGCACCCATCAGCAGAAGCACCCGTTTGCAGGAGCACCAATCGGTGGGAGCACCCATCAGAGGGAAGCACATGTCAGAGGGAGCACCTGTCACAGGGAGCACCCGTCAGAGGGAGCACCCGTCAGTGGGAACCACCGGTCAGGCCCATCTTAGATGGGAGGAAAGAAGGCCCCGGGGATGTTGGGTGGGCCCGGTGCAGACAGAGTCAGGAGCTGAGCTCTTCGGGCCTTAGGCCTGGACCCCCGACACCCCAGTCAGTGCCTGTCCCCGCCTGTCCCGTTTTGGAGGAATGGGGGGAGGCCAAGAGAGCCGCCACGAGAGCCTGTGGTGAACCCCGAGCGACATACAGTCGGCCTTTGCTCCCGGCCTCCCCACCTGGCTTTCCCACAGCCACATCCTCCCCCCTCTGCACAGCCTCCCCCATCACAGCACTCGACCTTCTGGGGCCTTCCTGATTCCGTTTTCCCACCGTCTTACTCCGTAAAGCCCCAAATGAAGGTCACGGTGGGGGCACGGGGTTTTAGCAGCACAGGTGGCAGGAACGTGACCCGGGGCAGGCTGACCCAGCCTCCCCTCGTCCATCTAGGGCCACGGCAGTACAGGGCCACCCCTCCAGGCTCCTCCGAAGATCCAAGGGGACAGTGCTTAGCACACAGTAGGTGCCTGATAGTTGCTCCAGACTGATGCTCATAATACCGTCACCTCCCTGAGTCCTGTGTCGTAAACACACGTACACACGTGCTTTTACATGTTCCATACGACACGCGCGGCGCACACTGCATCTTAGACGGTCGTAGGGTGTATGTTCCGTATAAACAGGCGTTTGCGTACAGACGCACGCAACCTGACACGTTGTCGAGCAATGGAGGGGTGTGGACCCCTGTCGGCGCAGGCGGCTGGAGCCCCCTGAGGGGAGTCGCGGCAAACCGCACCGGGCGGGCGCGTGAAGGAGCCGCGTGTTGACCAGGGGGCCACACCCGTTAGAGGAACTTGCCCGCAGCTGTCGTCGGGGCACGAGGGCGGCGGAGGCGGCTCACAGCCAAAGACACTGAGGCCCTAAGACGCCGGGCGCTGTGCCCCGGGCCACAGGTCAGTAGACGGCCCCACGGGGCGCAGAGGCCCTCGGCGCCCGGCGCCCGGCCCCCGGCTGCTGGGGCCCAACACCCTCCACGGCTGCCGTGCCCGCCGTCCTGTAGGGCCACGGCCGCAGGTGCCGACAGGTGAGGCCACCTGCCCTCGGCGCCCTCGGGGGCCCTGCCCTGGGCCCCGGCCCCCGCCCCTTGCTCCCCCGGCCCCTCACCTCACGTTCTCGGGGAGACAAGCGGCACAGCGGAGGGCCCTGGGCTCTGCCGGCTCCTGGCAGGCGACGGGGGGGCACCCAAAGGGAAACTCGTTCTCGTCGGGCGCCGGGCGGGGGCTGCTGGCCGAGCCGGAGGCCATCCTGGGGCCGCGGGGACAGCAGCCGGGGCAGCGTGGGCCGAGTCGCGAGGCGCCTGTGTGCTGCGCGGGGTCTGGCGCCCGGTCCTCTCGCCGCCTGTGGCTCCACGTCACGGCTGAGTCACCGCGGGGACGGGGCAGGAATTACCCGCTGCAGAGCAAGAAATCCCCTGGATGGTGGCAGGCGCTTCGGGGAGGTCCGTCGTGCTTTCAAGTGAGAGAAAAGGAAAACAAGAGTGAGAAAAAGAACTGAGCCTCGGATTTTCAGGAACTGCAATCCGAGTTCCCAGCCGAGCACCTTGGCTGCCAGGGGCCCCCCTCCTCCCTGGGGACACAGCTGCGACCGGTCTGAGCCCGGGGACCCCAGGAGAACTGTGGGGGAGCTCCCTGCGCGGAAATCCCCAGGGCTCGCAGGCAGGGCCCAGAGCGCATCTCAGGTGAAAGCCGCTTCGCCCACGGGCTCCCGGCCGCAGCTGTAAGAAAACCCGGGCCAAGCCCGGAGGGCCCTCCCCGGCCCTCCCGGCCCTCCCCGGCCCTCCCAGTGACGACACCAGCCTCCCCTCCTCTGGGAGCAGGACGTGCCCAGCGCCCTCCCCACTTCCCCTCAGGAAGTCACAGGGGGCCGCATACTTGGGGCGCGTCCCTGCGTCCTTGCACCTCGGCTCCGAGAACAAAGCTCTAGGTAAACACGAGCCAGGGGGACGCAGGCCACGGGGATGGCTGCCGGCGGGTCCCCCGCGCGTGGGCGACGTCCTTCTGCTCCTCTGGGCAGCCTGGCGGGGGCTGACGGCAGGGCCGGGGCGCGGGGCCCAGAGCAACGAGGCCCAGAGGCCGGGCCGGGCAGCCTGAGCCGCAGGTGCGAGGAAGCCCGGCTGGTTCTCGGGGCGCACGGTGGAGGCCAAGGCCACCGTGGGCTTGCGGAGCCTCCCTGCCAGCACCCCGCGGGCGGGAGATCCCCCTGCGCCTCCCCATCCTGCCAGATTCCACAAACGTCCCCGTGGTTTCGTGGTTTCCAGGCCTGGCCTTTGAGGCCGGACCCACCCACGCAGGTCCCCATCTTCCGCTTACCGGCTGGGGGTCCTGGGCCTGCTCTTTAATTCCTCTGGACCTCGTCCTTGCTCCTGCAAAGCGGGACAGGATAGGAATGTGTCACTTGGTCTGACAGTCGTGGGGACCCAGGGAATGCGGGTGGCCTGCCATGCGGGGCGTTGCCCTGGGGTGCTGGGAGGCCGAGGCGTCGCATGCCAGGGTTTGCGGCCCCACTCCTCAGGACCAGGATGGGAGGTCTCCATGGCCATCGTCCCTACGTGCCTCACGGGGTCGGGGCAGCTCGGCCGTCCTCTGACCCTAGAAGAATTCGACTGTCCCCCTTTCCTGGTGCGGCAAAGAGGAGACAGCGCCTCCCCCTGCAGCTGTGCATCGGGGCACCACCCTGGCGGGCCACCCGCAGCAAACGACCTTGGGGCCTCCTGGAGAGAGCTCCCAGAGGGGCACCCCCTCAGCCCCAGCCCCAAGCTGCGCGTCCCTGCACCCCCACCAGTTCCCTCTCCCTCCGTCTGGCACAGGCACGCACCCATCTCTCCATCTGAGCCCTGGGGCCCTTGCTTCCTGGGCCCTGGCCCCCCTGGGCCCGGCGTCCCCCTACCAGGTCCTCCCTGTCGGCATGGAGAGACGCCCAGCTGTCCCAATAATGAGAGTGAGAAACGGCAGGTGGCATTCCAGCACCGGGTCATGTACTCGTAACCCCTCCCCTAGTCTTCGTGTGACCCCCATGAGGCAGGGAGTGTCACCATCACCCCCACTTTACAGATCAGGGGCTGAGGCACACCGGTTAAGGGACTTGCTCAAGGTCTCGCAGGCAGCACGGGGCTCCTGCCCAGGGCCTGGGCTCCCACCACATTCTGTGTTAAAACGCCCTGGGCCCTCACCCCAAAGTCCTCTCCGGCATCTACACTGTCTCCATGCTTTAAGGGGACTTGTAGAAAGGGCTGTCTACACAGAGAGCTCCTCACTTGAGCCTCTGGAACCATCTCCTCAGGGACCTCAATATTGGCATCACCAGTGCCCGGGCCCCCACCCCAGCACCTGACACCGTTCTGGCCTCACCTTCAAACTCCCTGCCTTCCTTGGCTTCTGCAGCCCTGCGTGTGCCCCGCCTCCCCACCTCTGGCTCCTCTTCCTCCCGGCCCCCTTCTCTTCTGCTCGAGCCTCCCCTGGTCCCGCCACTGCGCGGATCCCCAAGGTTGGAGTGTCCCGTGAGGACCCCACTGGTCCCATCCATCCATGTGACCTTTACGGTGCACCTAAGGGGAGTCTTGGTGGTCTGCCCATGGAATGGGTTTGGGTGCCCAGCTTGGTGACCCTATGCATCCTGGTGTGAGCACTGCTTGTCCCCCCCGCCCCCGCTTGATGGCCTATCTGGGCACCCCAGCCCCGTCCCTGCGGTGCATCCCCACACCCCTGGCGCCATGGCAGTACGGGCAGCAGGTGCAGCAGGTGAGGCAGATGCAGCAGGGGCGGCAGGGGCGGCAGGGTGGCAGGGGCAGCAGGTGAGGCAGGTGTGGCAGGGGCAGTAGGGGCAGCAGGTGCAGGAGAGGTAAAAGGGCCGGCAGGAGCAGCAGGGGCGGCAGGGGCAGCAGGTGCAGTGGGGGGGGGCAGGTGTAGGAGGAGCAGCAGGTGCAGCAGGGGCAGCAGGTGCAGCAGCGGGGCAGGTGCAGGAGGGGAGGCAGGTGCAGTAGGGGCAGCAGGTGCAGGAGGGGCGAAAGGGCTGGCAGAGGCAGCAGTGGCAGCAGATGCAGCAGGTGCAGCGGGGGGGCAGGTGTAGGAGGAGCAGCAGGTGCAGGAGGGGCAGAGGGGCAGCAGGTGCGGCAGGTGCAGGAGGGGCAGCAGGGGCAGTGGGGGCAGGAGAGGCAAAAGGGCCGGCAGGAGCAGCAGGGGCGGCAGGTGTGGCAGGGGCGGCAGGTGTGGCAGGGGCGGCAGGTGCAGCAGGGGGGCAGGTGTTGGAGGGGCAGCAGGTGCAGCAGGGGCAGCAGGTGCGGCAGGTGCAGGAGGGGCAGCGGGGGCGGCGGGGGCGGCAGGGGGGCAGGTGCGGCAGGTGCAGGAGGGGCGAAAGGGCTGGCAGAGGCAGCAGTGGCAGCAGATGCAGCAGCGGGGCAGGTGCAGGAGGGGCGGCAGGGGCAGCAGGGGGGCAGGGGCGGCAGGTGCGGCAGGTGTGGCAGGTGCAGCGGGGGGGGGGGCAGGTGTTGGAGGGGCAGCAGGTGCAGCAGGGGCAGCAGGTGCGGCAGGTGCAGGAGGGGCAGCGGGGGGGCAGGTGCGTCCCTGTCCGTGGCGGGTGGAGGGTGGGGGCCGGGCCCCCGGGCTGCCGCCTCCCGCGGCAAGGGCTGGGGTGGGGGCGGGCTGCGCACCTGGCACCTGGCGAGGCCGCGGCGAGCGGGGGCGGGGCGTCCGGCGGGGCGGGGCGGGGCGGGGGGCGCGGGTGCAGGGGCGCGGGGCGCGGGTGCAGGGGCGCGGGTGCAGGGCCTCCAGCCTCGCCTCCCCGCGGCCCGCGGAGCTTCCGGTGGGGCGTGGGGCGGGGACGCGGCCCGGGAGGCGGAAGCGGGAGGCGGCGGCGGGGGCGGGGGCGGGGCGAGCGCTTCCCGCCGGGGAAACTGAGGCCGCGGGCGGGGTCGCGCGTGGCGCCAAGGCGGGGCTCGCGACCCCGACCCGACCCCGACCCCGCAGCCCGCGTGGGATGGGCGCGCGGCTCCCGAGGGCTTCCTGGTGGGGGCGGCCGGGCCGGGCTCGAGCTCATCGGGACGCCACAGGACCGGATTCCCCGGGACCCTGTCTACACCCGCCAAAGCGGCTGTGGAGCTTAGAATTTTTGTTTAAAACCCGCCAACGGCCTTAATGTCTGCGGATCTGCGGGGGGGGGGGGGGGAGCTGGGGCAGGGAGGGGGCGGGGTGAGGCTCCTGGGGGCTCCTTGTTCTGCCTCCCAGGGAGCATCCCTTGCATCCTCTCCCTCCCCCTCCCTCCCTCCCCCTCCCCCTCCCTCCCCCTCCCTCCCTCTCCCTCCCCCTCCCTCCCTCCCCCTCCCCCTCCCTCCCCCTCCCTCCCTCTCCCTCCCCCTCCCCCTCCCTCCCCCTCCCTCCCTCTCCCTCCCCTCTCCCCCTCCCTCCCCCTCCCTCTCCTCTGTCTCTTTCTGTCTCTTTGTCTCTCTCTCTCTCTCTGCTGGACTTGGGGCCTGGGCTCTTTTTCCTCTGCTTTGGCTTCTTAACCCGAGAGGTGGGCAGCCTCCTGCCCCGGGCAGAGCCGGGCCTACCTGGGGGCCACCCCTGCCTACGGGCAAGAGGGACTCCCGGCCTCTCACACTGGCACCAGGTGGGAAGGTGACCGCTGTGGGCTCTGCTGGGTCTTTCAATCTAAGAGAAAAGCATCGGATTTGGAGTCTCTGGTTTAAAAATTCATGGATTCGGGATCCCTGGGTGGCGCAGCGGTTTGGCGCCTGCCTTTGGCCCAGGGCGCGATCCTGGAGACCCGGGATCGAGCCCCACATCAGGCTCCCAGTGCATGGAGCCTGCTTCTCCCTCTGCCTGTGTCTCTGCCTCTCTCTCTCTCTGTCTGTGTGTGTGTGACTATCATAAAAAAAATAAATTAATTAAAAAAAAATAAAAATTCATGGATTCTTGGCGGTACCCACGGAGGATTTGGGGCCTGTGGAGCCTTTCTCTGGTCCCAAGCACCCTGCCCTCCCGCCCGGAGAGGGAGCAGTGCAAGTGAGCGGCCACCCCACCTCACTCTCTTCATGTGTCACTTCCTGTTTTCAAATTCGTGAGCTCATTTGGTGGAAATTTACCAAGGGAAATAGTTTAATTTTGGAAAGTACCAAAAACTTATCTGTGGTCATTTGGCTTGTTTTGGGGGGCTCTTGAAATCGAGGGGGCATCACCAGAGGACCTTTGAGGCTCGAGGCTGAAGAAATGGAAAGCCCAGCCCGTGAGGCTGAACCTGACTCAGAACGGAATCGAGACCTTTTGGAGGGAGACTCATCTCTACCCAGCAGAGAAATTTTTTTTTTTTCCTAAAAATAAGTTTAAAAAGAAATGCAGTTCATCCGGCTCAGCCCTCCGATCTGGTGGTCTGAGCGGGAGGCTGTGACTCAGGAACAGGGAAGTAGGGAGGGTCCCAGCAGCGCCTCGCACATCCCGTCTGCTGGGCCCACAGAGGACCGAGGCTCCGTCCTCCACCCTCCGGCCGCCAGGCTCTTGGCATTGAAGTGCCCGCCTCGTCTCGCGGCCATCGAGCTCGTGGCTCCTGAAAGGTGCTGGGTACTGAGTGACCGGAGGGACTCTGGGTGCTGTGCAGGTAGAGCACAGGCGACAGGCCCCTAAGCTGACCCCTCCTGGCCTGGCCTGTTCCTAGAGCTGAGATTTTTTTTTTTTAAAGATTCTATTCATTTGAGAGAGAGAGAGAGAGAGAGAGAGAGAGAGAGAGAGAACAAGCAGGGGG